TTGCTACCCGAAGCACACCGTTGCTGGCATCTTGTGAGAACCTTGCAGCTCGAGAGTCTGCAAGTGACGGCAGACTGGTTGGAAAACCAAAGAGTTTTTAAACAATAAATTGAATTAAAATAAATTGAAAATTGAAAATTGCCATGGGCCAACGGCCGGGACTCCCCTGTTCGTATGCTCGAGAGGGTTTGTCGCGCGGATCATGGGCTGCCACACCAGTGCAACTGTGATCAAGGACATGCCCCCGTGGTTCTTGTTCGCTCTGTGTGAGCGTCTCCCGTCCCCGACGGCCATGAGGCTTGGGCCGCGATGACGGACCGCCTGTCTCTGGAGCCTGGAGGAGGACCCGACTTGGTCTCGCGAATCACGGACCTGTAGAATCAGTAACTTATGTGGCGAGGGTAAAGGACTAGTCAAACAGTTGCAAGTTGGCCTCGTTGGTGACGTCTCCTTCACGTGGCAGATCTCAATCTCCGTCGGCGGCGTTACACCAGCCGTAAATCCAGGTGCCGATGCGAGACCAAGCAAGACAAGACACACAAGACAGGCAAGGCAGGCTTGTGCAGTGACTTGCAGGCACCGTGTGTCGCTGGTCAAAGCGGTCAGAACCCATCTCATGCTATTTCTCAACGCCTTGCAACCATCTTGCCAAGATGTTTGTATCTCAAACCGCAAATTCGTCCAGATGACACCAAATTCTGCCCCGTACGGAGTACTCCATACCGAATGTGGCATCGGACCAGGATAAAAAGGTCCGCCGCGCTGTGCAGGGGCGGGGAGAAGGACCGTCATCGTCATCACCCTTTGTCGTGGCGGCGCATTCCTGTATTCTGGGGCCGTTGCCGAATCCCCATGAAGCCATAATGCACCATCAGGGGCTGTGGATTCATCAAACATCGTCCCTGGCTTCGATATCTGTTCGGTGACACCCAAGAACCTGCGTGCCTCTTGCCATCCGAGCGACTTTCTCCGTCTCGGGACCCCTCTCCGGGTTCCATCCGGAGGAGTTTTGTACGATCCACCGGTGGGGCCGAGCCCCAGATGGTGTTCTTTTTCCGAAAATAGAGAAAGCCAGCTGCAAGTCGACTGATGCCGGGATTTCTTGCTGCGGTTCAACTCCGTGTGCAGTCAGTCTGTTCTCGATATATATATATATATATATATATATATATATATTTATATCTTGCTCACCGCATTGCAGGCTTGAGGAACCAGCCTCGCTTATCCGTGTGCCATTTCTGCCCTGGATTGCAGACTGCGTACGGAGTAATTCCACAAACACACCGCCATCCATGTACATACATGGTCAAGGTCGGTTCGTGACTTTGACGTGCACTGCTCCGTACATCGGCCGAGTTGGCGTGGATGGGCATCAAAGCTGGATCGTCAGGGCACGGGAACCAAAGAGGGAAGGAAGGGGCTCCTGCGAACAACAGACCTGGGCAGGGACGGGCCGCTTGATGCCAATCATAATCACTGCCGCCTCGAGGCGTGGTTGGCTGTTGATCGGTTCGGACGGACTTGCACTGCACCGCGTGCAGACGTCCGGCCATCGGCTCGTCTGGTCCCTGGCACAAAACAGGACGGCGGCGATGGCATGACGACTTGTTAGCTCGACAATGAAGCGACCAACTACGTCAAAAACTGAGGCCATGATCAGAAGGGCGTTGAATAATCTTCAAGTGTCGTCACCACTGCCTAAGCCCCGATGGACAGGTTTTGCCAAGACCGGCAAGGGGAGAAGCACGGCACAGAATTGCGGCTCGTGCCTTTATTCGCCAGTGAGCGCGGGCCGGACAAAATTCAAGAACGAAGCACCAAGCACAAGAGGCCTGATACTCCGTATCGGTGATGGCAGAGGCGCGACATACATGGTCGGCTCTGCTCTGTCCTGTCGAGAGGAAGTAGATGAAAGTTGGCCCGAGCTCCATGGGCCCACAATTACTCAGGGTGGCCGCCGGGAGAGGGCGATTAAATCCCTGCAGCAGCCGTGATAGCGCTCTTGATTGGCTGACCCGCCACGCGCACTTGCAGGAGGCGCAGCCAATCGGCGCCCGAAAAAATCTTCGGCGCTTCGAACGGCCCTTCCATTCGAACACCGGCTCGTTGGGACCCGCTTTCGGCCGCAGCCCCAAGCAGCCTGTCACCAGTCGGACCCCGAGCCCAACCACATGTCTTCCTCAAAGTTGACGCCTCTGCCTCTACGACGCTCGGGACGCTCTTGAGAGGACGGCAGGACTTGCGAAACTATGTCGAGGGGCAACAGGCGATCGCGCACGTTGGACGTGCCTGCCCAGCTAGACGGGCAACGGTAGCATTATAGTCGATCAGACTACGGAGTAGAAGTGATGAAGGGAAGGGATACATAAACTCACATATGCGCAGACGGGCCAACTTGGCAGTGGGGGGGCCACATCTGGTCCAACCCCGACCAACATGAGTCCTGTCAGGTACAATTGCGCATCAGAAATTAAAAAAAAAAAAGGAGACAAGCGGCCAACGACAGCGTTCAATTCCATCATTTTGCTCTACAAAAGCCCCAACGCCCGGCTAGCCATCTTCTGCAGTGCAACCATGCGAACCCCGCAAATCTCCGTGCCGAAGGGAGGCAGAGAGATATGGCTGGTCTTATTTACCCAGGCATGTACGGAGTACGGACTATGTAACTGCACACTATGTACGTCTGCGTTGGACACCTTTTCTCCTGCCAGCAACGCCGCGGCAAATGGGGTCCAAAATACGGAGTGGGTGGCATGAGCAGCACGCAGTCACCGAGTTATGCAGCGACATGGCGCAGGCAAAGGCAGGGACCAAAAAAAAATAAAAAATAGAGGGAAATTGGTGTCTGAGGAGCAAAACCCCATGGTCGCCTTTGGGCTGGCCCAGAGACGTCGAGACCAGTAGCTTGCTTACGGGGCGCTTCTGATACGGTTTGCGTATATCTCGTGCCGGAACTAGGCCATGCCATGGCGTACAACTCACGGTACACTAGGGCAACTAGACAGGGATGGTCTCACTTGAAATCGTGGTCAGGTGTGCTAGTTCGTCACTTTGCTACGCCTGACACCATTCACCAACGTCGGTTCAAGATACCTGATACCAATGCCTGGGAATACATCCTGCGTGTGAAATACTTGACAGTGTCGGATTTTTCGACTCGGGCCTATTATCGTCTTTCCTCCCGGGAGGGGCTCTGTCCCTCCGATGCAGTATTTATTCGTCCCATTGTGACGCCGGGCTTGGAGGCCGTTTATCGCGACTCGTCGGTGCCGCTCCATAAGGATGCATTCATAGGCCACGGCCTGCCTTCAACGTCTTCGAGGCTGAATGGCGACTGACTGCACATGATCGATGTGGCAGTTGGGAATGGATCTGATTTGAGCCCCTGGATCACGAGGCGGAGTCTTTATTTGCCGCTCCCTTTGTTTTGGCCGCAAATTTGGATCCCAGCCCGAGTCTCTCCAAAAGGCGCTGGACTTACATGTCCCAGCAAAAAGACAAAAAGTCTGCTCAGGTCAATCAGCAATTAGGCGCCGTGATGCGACTCCCAGTCACACCACCTCGAATCAGGCCGTCAACCATGGCGGAGCACCTGGGCCCCTTGTTTTTTCCCTTCTGATGCCCTTGCAAATGTCTGCACTTAATCCCCATTCGTACCATCTATGCACACGCACCACCTAAACACCCCTTGCCATTCTCCGTACTGCGTCGACGGTTGCCGTACCGTACCGTACCGTACCGTGCCCCGCCACGCCACGCCACGCCACGCCACGCCACGCCACGCCATGCCATGCCATGATTTGCGAATGCATTGTAGGGTACTCCGTACGGAATAGTAGTAGTTGTAGCAGTAGCAGTAGCAGTAGCATTGGTAGTAGTGGTAGTAGTGGAAGAAGAAGACCCCTGGTCCCTCTTGTAGGCCTTTTGAGACTCTGTCGCCGAGTGTGGACTTTGATCGTCTTCACCGTGGCCGCTTGGTCGACGTGGTCGACTTATTTGGCTACCTCGTACCTGCCCTTTTCAACCTCCTTCCTAAAGGTCTCCGTCTGCTCCTGCATCCTTCCTTCCCAACTTGAATTCAACCCGGAAAAAAATTGATCGAACCGCCCTCCCGGTTTCGTTTGCAACCGACAAGAGGTATTTCTCACTTGTACAAAATTCAGTCTTTGTTGGTTGTCTCGTGTAACCGGAGCCACGAGCACGCCTATTTCGCGACAGTTTCCAGACAAGCGCCGACCCTGGTCCGCCTCTTCTTTGGGCCAAACGTCCTCTCGTGCTTTCCGCTAGTGTGCGTTCTCTCCGCACGGTAAAGTAGGTTTGGTGATTACCACCGCGCTTTCTTTTTCCTTCTTTTTACACATACAAACTGTGTCTCCCTCCACTTTTCAAATTCTCGCCCGCGTTACACGCTGCGACCGAGACATACCGTTGCGGTGTGAGGACCACCAAGAGGGGCTGAAGGGCAACTCAACGCTCCCATCTGTCTGCCACCGACTTTCACTACCCGTACGACGATACCCGACTCCGTCTACCTCGAGGACGTTTATTTGACCGGCTCAACTCGTATAGGGACGTACATTGCAGGAGAATTTTAGCTTGGAGCTGCCTCTCAAGCAGGGAATCGACGATTTTGCCATTGGTCTGCGCGCAGCAACTACACTCGAATCCGTGTAAATGATGGTCTAAGAGCACAGCTCTCGCAACTCATCGCCGGTTTTCCCCGCCGTTTATTCCTTGTGCGAGGGAAACAACCAAGCTTAGCCCGCCACCCTCAAACGGGCCGGCGTTTCGACGAGCACTGTGGTACTGTCCAAATACCATTTCACGGCGGTTTGTCAAGCCGTCGAGCACCGCGGAGGACGGCAGCATCTCTCTGCGGGGCGCCCAAATCATCATCTTTTGTTTCTGCAGGTTCCCGATAGGATTGAAATCAGCTTTTGGACTTCGAACTTTGGTCTGGTTGCTGGCGGGGCTTGCTTTCGATACATATCAGAGCCACAATGTCTGCTTCGTCGAGGAATCGCGCTGCTAAAAGCTCTGGCAAGTCATCCACTGCCAGAGGAGAACGCATCCAGGACTACACCGCAATGCCGTCAGTGAAAGAACTGAAACTTTTCGACCCATGCGCCGCCACGGCCTCCATGTTTCTTTATGCGCAAGGCCCTACAATTGTATGCTGTCACCACGACACTCTGACCGTTGAGACAAGATTTTCGAGGCATAAAGAAACAGTCGAATTGCTCGCTGTGGACAATCAGAGTGACTTGGGCGGTGGCCGCCTCGTTGTTAGCTACGACGCCGGCCAGACTGCCATTGTCTGGGACTTGATGACCGGTGATGAAGTGGCCAGATTCTCATCCTATGAAACACTTACTGCCGCGGCATGGATGCGCGATGGAAATGTCGCTTTTGGTATGATATGAGACGGCGGACATGCAAATAATGCATCTTCATCCCGGCATCGAGCTAATTGTCCATTTGCAGGCAACACTCAGGGGAACATCATCCTTTTTGAGCCAACGACTTCGGAACATATTTCGTCAAGGACCATAGACCAGATTGCAGTTACTGCGCTGGCCCCGTCCGCTGATTGCAGGACGTTTGCGATCGGGTAAGAGCAGAGAAATCCGACCACATACCATCCATTCGCCTTGACAGAAGAGTTAATGGAAAATGAGTTAGGTATCAAAACGGATCACTACTGATCGCAACTCTTCAACCGCGCTTTACAATCTTGCACAACTTGACAACGTCGAGAGCACCATCGCCGGTAGTAACTGTAGCATGGCACGCTTCTTCGTCGCGACAAAAATCCGACATGCTGGCGGTGCAGAGCCACGATGGGGATCTCCGAGTCTGGAGCGTTGCAAAGAATTTCAGTGCCGATGATCCTGCCAAAGTCGTCAGGATACTTCGGCGGCGAGAAAGCTCCGTACCTGGACCCAACTGGATGGGCTGGTCGAAGAATGGTCGTATTATTCAGTTCTCAGACTCGTGCGTGTAACCTTTTTCTGTGCTACACAGGGCGTTAACTGTTGTCTAACTTTTTAACAGGGAAACCCTGTCGTGGGATGTACGAACAAAACATGTTACCTTTGACTCAATCCCTACTTTGGAACATGTAAAAGGGCTCGCAGTTTACGGGCCAGGGGCTACCCTCTTCACCTCGGGGCCCAACGGCACTGTTCAACAGTTTGATCTCAACTCGCCATCTATCATGGTTGCAAACGTCCAACACCCCACGAACCTCTTGCCACCGTCGCCTCCAAACTCAATCGAAGAGCCAAGCAATGCGTCGGGCCATTCTGCAACGACAATTCACACATCGGAGTCGGAGTCTAGCTCTGTGCCATTTGATATTGGCGTCTCGGAAAGTGATGAGGACCAGCTGTCCCCGTTTGCGCGCTTCTCTCGTCGCCCTCACCTGGACCCGTCAGGAGGTGAGGTGTCCTTCGATCCAGGAAGCCCAGTATCCAGTCGAAGTGGAGTGTCCTCGGTGTCCAAATCATCGGCTAGTTCTCGTACACCAGGTCACTATCAAGGATCCATGATGTCCAGAGGAATGACAGAAAACACTTACATATCCACCGGCTCGTCCCTGAAACCATCAACGATTGGTCGAAAAGACCTGGACACATACTCCATGGGCTATTCACTACCCTCAACAAGCGGCCAATCCACGACTTCTTCACGATCTAGACACAGGCCATCTCGTCTGAGACATGAGATCCCTCGAAGCCCCGACGATAACAAGGTACACGAGTTGTTCAAGTTTACCCGCAGTCGCTTGAGCGACATTCCGTACAAGCACCCCATGCGAGCTGATAATTCTCGCCTCACAAACGATGATTTGAGAAGGCAAATGCTGAGCACCATTTTCGGATGGCACAAGCCGATTGAGGATTTGATTCAAGATGAAATGAGCAGGCACCCGGCCGGCTCCGCCAGTCGCATCCTTCTTGCCAAGTGGCTGGGTGACATGGACACCGATATCATGGTCGGCTCGTCTGAGAATATGAGCTCGTCTGACTGGATGCTACTCGCTCTCAGCGGCATTGGTGGACAGAAGTCTCAACATAAACTCGGGCGTGCCTATGTTCGGCGTTTGCTAGAAAATGGCGACATCCATGTTGCCGTTACCATTATGCTCGGTATGGGTGATCACAACGACGCAATTGAGATCTACATATCTCACAAGCGCTATATGGAGGCACTCATCCTCACCTGTGTTGTTTTTCCAAGTGTCTGGGAACGTCAGGCTGCGATTATCCGTAAATGGGGAGAATGGGCTGTGCAACATGGCCAACAACAGCTGGCTATACGGTGCTTCGCCTGTACTGATCAGGAGTCTACCGAGCCATGGAGCTCTCCGTCGGCAGTTCAGCTAAACTTCCAGAGCATCACACCTAGTATCCCTGAGATTCTCAGCCCTCCCTTGTCGCCGCCAGGCCTTCAACGTGGTCCGCAGCGCAGTGTTGCCAAGTCATCAGCCCTGAAGCTCATCACCACGTTTGGAGACGAGAATCAAAAGTCGAGGTTCTATTCTCAAGGGGATGGTGGGCAGACCCCAATTGCCGCTGGTGTTACCCCAATCGCTGATTCGGCCATCTCTCCGGCGGTCTGTGATGTGACCACGGCACTACTGCGCCCGTCAAGCAACAGCAGGTTTAATACGCCCACTTCTGCTCGTCCGAGCGGCTCCAGCTGTGGACGCGGCAGGCTCCCATCAATAGGCGAAATTTCCTCAGACTTGAATCGGGAGGCGCATCAAGCCGCCGAGAAGGCTAGTGAAAGGGTAAATCGTCTGGGCCATGTTCGTGTGTTGTCTGCGGAGCAGGATAATCTGGCTTCAGGTCGTTTGTTACAACGTGCTGCAACGGCCAGCCCGATGATGATGAGGGACAGTTTCCAAAAAGCCGCACGGGGGTACGAAGGCGAACGGCCCCCATCGCCTAACGAGAACATTATGAGCAGGATGCAAGAGGCTCGATCAAACCGCAGAAACGGCTCGCGGGATCGCATTCCCCGAGGTGTGAACCTTCAACTCAAGCCTCTGGGGCAGCCCGCATTCGCAGATGTAACTCCCCCTGAGCAGTCTGTAACGTCATCCACACGCTTCCACTGGCCTTCGAGACGCCGTGCGCCAGGATCAGTTGCAAGCTCGGTAACTTCTACATCAAGTGCAGGAAGAAGTTTGCGCACTGGCCAAAGGCACCGTGATGATTACATGCATAGCCTGGAAGCTGCTCATGACTACTCGAAGGGAAATCGTAGTCGAGGTGGAAGCACGGAACGAGGTCGTGAATCATCCCGCGGCCGCCATGGTAGTCAGGAAGGAAGGACCAATTCGAGAGAGGCGTCTGAGGAGCGTGGAAGAGCCTCTGCACGATGCTGGACAAAGCCCAAGAGATCACCCACCTCGCCAATCCCCATGTCACCAGAGGACCTCGCCAATTTGAGCACACCCAAATACCACGAAGTTGGCGAGCCGGGTACGACTAGGAAGTCGGGCGGCACCAAAGCAAAGACTGGCAGCCGAGCGTCTAGCCGTGGGAGTCAACGGCGCAGTCCGGACGGCCGCCCCCGGCCACCGGCATTGGACATTCGTGGCAGAAGTCTGGTTCGGGAAGCATCTCATCAGCGATCTCCATCGTCACCCCTGCCTCTTTCGGCAACTGCATCGTTACATTACCAAGGCTCCGAAGATGAGGAAGATTTCAGGAGGGCAATTGAGGAGCAAGAGGGCTTCAGAACCAAGCATAGCCGAGGCGCAAGCCGTACTCTCAACTCCCCACTAGAGACCAAGGGAGAAGGGGCGGAAAGCCGTCGCAGAGAGACTGCGGAGGCACTTGGCATCCTCCCACCTATGGTCGCTCACACTCGAGCGGCTTCAACTGACCACGCTGGTGACTTGCGGCAAATGAAAGATGAACGACAGCGGAAGAAGGAGCAGGCAGCCCGTGAGCTCGAGGAACGTCGGAAGTCCCTTGCGAAGAGACCGCAGGCACCCCAGATCCTGCACCCCAATGAAATCAACGGCACAGGCTTGCGAATTGGTGTCGAGATGATGAACGAGCCAAAAGGTGTTGACGATGCACCTCCTCGTTGTGCAACCGAACCACCCAAGAGCATGTATGCAAGGAGCGGGCCGCACATCGGTCTCCCGGCAACTCCCAAGGCCATGAGACTAATTCTCGAAGCCGAGAATAGCAGCAAGATGAACAAGGATGTCCCAGAAGTTCCCTTCATTCCTCCCGATTATGGCACACTCGTCGTTTCATCTGGCCAGTGTCCTAAAAAGGAAGAGGGCATTGAGCCGTTGACTCTGCTTCCGTCTACCGTATACCAACCACCACAGAGACCGGCCATTCCTCGAAGCATGTCGGCCCCGATTCCTGACGAGCCTAGACAAACTCCAAGACACCCTAGGAAGGCCAGCACAGGCGGGATTCGAGGCATGGACGAGGTAGTGCAGGGCGGACGACGTCATTCGCAGGAGGAGGCAGTGCCGCCGCCGCCTCCCCCGGTTCCTGCGGCACCACCCATGCTCAAGGAGCTCCAGCACCTGGCCACACCACCGCCTCCTCCTCCTGCCCCTCTGCCATATGCGCAGCGATCTCTCACGGGTGGTGCCTTGGCTTCGGGAATGATTGAGATTGTGATGGATGAGGACGACGACGCTCCAATTGTCGCTGCGCCCAACGACGGCATGGTTCCAGTACTTGCACCGCCTGCTCCTCCCTGCAGGGGTCACAACCGAGGACGTAGTAATGGGGATGGTAGCTTCTCCAGAGGATTGTCCAGGACTGGGAACAGGGAGCGGATGAGATCGGCCAGTCGCAGCCGCAAGGACTCTGGGGCAAGCATCAAATCGCCGCTATTGGAGATGTCATCAGACGGGGCTTACCGCGTCGGCACACTTCGATCACCAGTTGGGGGAGTGCCTCCCCCGGTGATGTACGACCCCGATGCCATTCGGGCTGCGATTGAACCAAACGGAAAGCACATGTCGACCGGACTTGACCAAAGCGAGATGTTTTGAGTATTGTTAGAAGCAGTATTTGCATTGACACACGTCAGCTGATCGAACTTGGCTATTGTTGGTCCTTTTTTGTTTCTTTTGCATTTGCAATTATATCTCGCTCCCGTTGCATAAGCCAATTTTTTTTGGATTCCTCATACGGCTTTTGGCGTTATCGATGTTCCCGAGGCAGTGAGCCCCAATACTCTTCGTTGCACGTTGCACGAGCCATATCTCGGGGCCTGCCGTGGTGCCTTGTGTTGTGTCAGATGGTTGCTTGAAGGAGTGTGTTGTGTAGCAAACGCAGCACGGCCTTTGACGACTGGTTTCCCGCGCTCCGCGTCACTGATCACACGTCGAGGTGGGCAGTGGCCGAATCTTCTGGATCTTGCAATCTTTTCCCCCTCTTTTATTCTGAATCGTGCTTATTGTCAGCTTCTCGACCATGTCCTTCACCATATTGTAACAATTTTTTTAGGCTCGAGAATACAGGTGAATGAGGAAATGGCATTGAAACCTGTGCTTTCGTCCTTTGGCCTGATGAAGCATTCTTTCTAGTTTTTGATGGTTAATGAACCGGTTTGAAGGAGGGGGTGTGCCAGCCAGGAAAAGGAAGCAAGACTGTGTGAAGCGTGGAGGGATGGTTCGATTCGTTGACTGGGATCGGAGAGCGATGCTCTGGTGCTTAATACAATGCTGCCTCGCGGCAAATTGTTCCAAGGAGGCCGTAGTAGTCGTAGTTGGGATTCCTTGAATATATCCAACAGGTTGTTTATTGCGCCGCACTGCCTTTGTTGCAGAGAGTGTGACGGAATGTTGTGGTTTGCATTTTTACGTCGGAAAAAGTGCCCCTGCCTGCCCACGGGAGGTTCGAAACCGCCAAATGGCAAATGTTGCTACGGACCACGACATGTACTGCAAAGTGATTTTCCAATCAAAGCAGGTGTAATCTTGTAGATTTATTTTATTTTCTTTTGTTTTTAAAAAAAAATCCAAATCTAAAACTAGACACTATATACGGGTAAGAAAAGGGAAAAAAAAAAGGCGTCGGCACCTCCATCTCGCTCAACCAACCCAATCTCCTCGCGGTCGTGATCCAGCCCGCCATGCGACGGGGGAGAGTTCTCTGCAGAGTGAAACCTCTCTCAAGTGTCATCTCCAGTGCTTAGGGCCGCTTGGCGAATCGCAGGTTACCCATGCGAGCAAGACGGGCCACCGCGGCATTCGGGCTGGGCGCCGGGCGAGGGGGATCTTACGGGGATGGGGACGTGGTCGAGGTGCTACAGGAAATAGCGCGAGATAAATCGAGGGACTTCGCCGTTTGACCATTACAGCCGGAAGTTGGGTGCCGTGTTTTGATATATATACGTTACTTGGGGAAGGTGGGGCGCACTCTACTCGTCTCGCACTGCTGTGCTGCAGCTGTCTTGTCGCTCTCTTTTTTTTTTTTTCCCCCAAGTCTTCTAGCACCACGGGTCGGGTCTGTGTTCTACACGCACGAGAGCAGGACCAGCAAGAGGGCGACAGCAAGAAAACAAGTGCAACTGCAGTTCCGTCTTGTTGTTCCAGCATGGCAATGGCAGCTCGCTAAAACACCGAGCCATCGACCATCGACCATCGACCATCGACCGCCATGATAACCACGACGCCGCGCCTGCGCGTCCGCCGCCCGTCCCCGACCACGGCCGAATTCACCGTCACGACGCTGCCGCCTCGCACGCTCTCCCTCCGCATCCTCCGCGTGCTCCTCGTGCTCGCTCGCCTCGTCCTGGCGCTCACGACGACGCTCCTGCTGTACGGCCGCTGGTGCTCGTGCCCCCTCGCCGGCGCCTCCGCCGCCACGGCCGCCGTCCGGCCGCCGTCGCTCCTCTCCCTGCCGGGGCTGAGGTACGCCCTCGACGGCTATTCCCGCTCGTCGACGGCGCTCCTGCTCGCCAGGATCGCGTCCTCCGTACCGCTCGGCCTGCTGGTCCCCGGCGCGGCGGCGGCCCTGTACACGCTCAGCCTGCGGCTGCACTCGCACGAGAGCCTGCTCGTGCTGCGCGGGCTGGGCGTGCAGACCACGGAGTCGCCGTCGAGCTACCTCGCCGGCCCGTCGACGCGCTTCATCCCCACGGAGAAGATTCGCGACATTTTCGTCAACGAGGCCTTTGTCGGCTTCCAAGTCAGGTACTATCTTGTCGTGGTGGTCGAGGGGGAGGAGGACGTCGTCATTGTGTTCCCGGGGCTGCTGCCCAGGAGGGCCATTGTCGAGACGGTCTGGAGAGGCGCGAGGGAGTGTCTGTACGAGGCGCCCAAGAGGGACGCGGAGTAGCTTCTCTACGATACCCGCCCGGGTTCACCGCTGTCACGAGGAAAGGGAGGCGAGGGGGAAAGCTTGAGCGCCCTGGTCTTTTAATGCCCGCTGCCCGCCCTGTTGATGTATTGGCCTGTTACTCCCACATGCGCTAGCTGTAGATGCTGGTACGGGTTGCTACGATCCTTGGACCGTCTTTGCTACGCGGCCCCCTTTTGCGCGTGCATCTCTTGTGCGTCGGCGTACCCTTTCCTCTGGGCGTACCGGTCGCTCTGCTCCTCTGGCGACTGGAGCGCCGGCCTCTCCATCACGGGCACGTACTTGCCGCAGAGGCGTCCGCTGTCGCCGCCTTCAAACACGCGCGCGCTCGCGCTCGCGCTGGCGTCGGCGGCCGTCGGCCCCCTCCCCTGGCGGGATGCCAGCTGCAGGAGCTGCGACGAGAGCAGTTCGTCCATCTTGTGGCCCCTCCACGCCTGCCACAGGCTGTCCATGACGCCAAACTGTCCGAATTTGTCGGGCGGGTGCTCCTCGCCCACGTGGATCCACCGCATGCTGTCCTCTCTCGTGCTGGGCGCGTCTGCGGCCGCGTAGTCCGTCTTGGAGATGTCTGGGAAGATGCAGTCCCACAGGACGAGAGGCACTTCGTCGGCCATGACGTAGCTGGGTCGGCCGGGGTGCTTGGCCGTGTCGAGCAGTTCGGAGACGAGCGACGGCGGCTCGAGACCCTGGCCGACGAGGAACAGGATGGCTACCATGTGGCGAATCTGGTGCCACAGAAACGCGGATCCCCGAACGTGGAAGTAGTACGCCTTGGGGTACGGTCCGGGGCCCGGGAGCCCCGGCGGCGAGGAGCCCCGGGTTTGGAGGTACGGCAGCGCGGAGCTGGCATCCTGCACCTCGACAATGTCCGATTCGAAGATGCGCCTGCGGAAATTGGTGACTTGTTTCGCGGGGTCGGTCTTGCAAAAGTTGCGAAAGTCGTGCTCGCCCTCGTAGCGCTTGGCCGCGTCGCGCATGGCGCCAATGTCAAGCCAGCCCGCGTCGACGCGTCTGCCGGCCCCCGACGGATGCGGGCTCGCGGGATCGGGCGCAAAAGCAGGCTGTGTGAAGAAGTAGCGATACTGGCGCTCGCGGCACGAGAAGCGGGCGGAGAAATGGGGCGGTGGTGATGGGCACCACGCTAGGATGCGAATGTCGTCTGGCAACAGTCTGTTCAGGATGCGTGGGTAGCAAAGTTCGTCGCGGACGTCGTCGAACGGCTCTGATTCTTGTCGAGGTTGCCCTTGTGCTTCTGCTTGCCGTCCTCTTTGCGGGCCTGCCTCGACCGCGGGCACGTCTTGAGCGGCAGCGGCAGCGGCAGCGGCATTCCCATTGATGCTCTTCTTCTTTGCGAGCGGCCTGTTACTGCGCACCCTCAGCCCGACGACCTGTCCGAACGCGCTGACTCCGCGGTCCGTTCTGCCGCATTTCGAGTAGTCGCAACAGTCGAACTGGACGACCCTCTCGTCCTCGGGGAAGATCAGGCATGCCCTTGTGAGAGCGTTCCACAGCTCCTCCTCGATGGAGGGCCGATTCCCCATGGCTTGAAACTCGAATCCGCCGTAATTTTTGCCCAGATACGCCAGCTTGAGCGCAATGAATCGGGTTGAATATCGTGAGGGATCCATCTTCCGCTTTTCCTTCGGCGCTTTTGCCTTTTTGGCGCGCCCTGACATGTCATCGGACATTGTAACCGCCGAGGCATGGTGGTTTGGTTCAGTTTCAGGAGCAGAACCAGCTTTGCGGGCCTGGGGCCTCTTTTCCAGTTCGACCTCGAGCTCCTTCAGTCGTTGGATGAGACCGCTCTTGGTCCAATTGTTGTAGTTGGTTTCGCCGGCCATGTTGCTGTGAGGATTCACCCTTGGACGCAGGTTGATCTGCTCCGGCCTTTGAGACGTCGACCTCGGACGACAATGCTGACCGTACACGGGCCTGCAGGCTCTGGACACGGCTCTGGCGGCAATACTGCGCCCCACGGGACCGTGGATCGGTTGCATGTAAAGGTGGTGCGGCTCCTATCAAAGCATTTTCACTTGGGGATTTTCTCTGCCTTGCCTCTTCGACTGCGCACGGCGGACATGTAAAAGTCGAACGGTGGGGAGGTTGTGGCTGGTGCTCTGTGGCTTAGAGCGCGAGCACACGTGCAGCATTGGCAGCCAAAGTGACTACCGAGCCACGATTGTCAGTAGCCAAGCAGACCGACCTTCTCTGAAGCCTCGTCGGCCGAGTCTTTTCGAATGCCCTTCCAACGAGACGGCAAAGGCCGTTGCGCGCCCAGCCCGAAGCATAATGGACCCTGAATCTGTGAGGCTGTTACTCGTGGGGGATGAGAAATGTGGCAAGACGACTTTTCTATCGCATGTGTTGCCCCTATCTCGGCTATCTGGATGTTGTTCGCCTACTGACCGCCTATGCAGGAGACTGAGCGCTGGAGAGGGCACAAATCCGATACCAATTCTCCGAGACATTGATCAGCCATTTGTGTTCAATATTGGCCTTGGAGACAAGAAGTTTCGTCTCGAATTTTCAGATACTTCCAGCCCGGACAACTGGCGGCTTCTTGAGCCAGACGTAATTATCCTCTGTTACGACATCAGCCAACGACTGAGCCTCGTTAACATGAAGCGCCATGTTCGCCACCTCAACCTTTGTAGCTCCTTTCGAGCACTCTAGAGGAAGCAAGTACTGACGAGCCATGACAGTGGATCGACGACGTTAAGAGGGCGTTCCAAAACTCAGATAATCTGCCCATCGTCATTCTTGGTTTGAAGAGAGACCTCAGGTCGGAGAACGACCCCAACGGCATCATCTACCCGCAGGAGGCCTATCAGCTGGCTCAAACCATGAGGGCAGATCGATATGTCGAATGCTCAGCTGTGACGGGGGAACTCCTCAAGCCTGCGTTTGAGGACATCTGCAAGACAGCCACCAAGACTACCACCGCAGCTGGGGGGCAGAGCGAGGGGGGCTGTATAGTAATATGAAGGGGAAAAAACCGCAAAAGAAAATAGCAAAAGAAGAAAAAAGAGCCAACTGGCCAGGTCGCGACACCGCTGCTCCATTGTTGGAAAGTGAGATGGGTCGTGGGTAGACTCTGTTTGACTGATGGCTGTCCTTGGATTGCAATTGAACAAGCGATTGCCCTTCGTTCAAACGGCTTCGGTATCATTCATACTCACATCACCACCTTCGCCCGCATCCCCATTGCCTTGGACCTCGGCCACCTCGAACCGACCGAGCACACCGGCTATAATGCCAACCATTTCTTCTTGTTGCTCGTCCGAGTAACGCTCGGGCATGTCCTCAATAATGGTGTTGAGAGCAGCAATGGAGGCTGGGCGCAGGTTTAAAATCATCACCATCTCACCCTTTGACAGTTCATACGGACTTAGGTTCTCAATAATTTGGGCAATAGCCTCTGGGGTGTAGGTCAAGGGCTTCTGACTCAAGGGACTGGGTGCAGTCCGCAGGTACTGCAGCATCTACAGGTGCGAGGGGCAAGGTCAGTTTTGCTGCTTGAGGTCGCCATCTGCTTGAAACCATGCATTCAGAGTCGTGTGCGACGAGGTCACGCAACTTACCTCTCGAACAACCGTCTCGAGGTTTGGGGGCCCGCGGTGCTTCTTCTGCTTGTAGCGATCACGCTGATCTGTGAGGTGCTGGTAGACCTCGTAATTGGATAGGACAGCGGACTGGGACTCGAGGATCTTCATGGCGAGTGGGCAGGCGGGACCAGAATGAAGCCTTGCGAGAGTAGGGTGTGAATGTGCAGATGGGGGAGAAGCCGAGCGGTACACGGTGCGTCCCGAAGCAAGTCGAAGACGACAGAAAAAAATTATCAAAAGCTCTGTTGCATATCAGAAAGCATGCGACATGTCGGACTGTAGCGGCAGGTTGGCGTGTGTGGTTGCTGCAAGCTGCTAGCCAGTCCAGACGAAGAAGTCGATCTGGAGACCGTCAGTCAGCGTCGAGTTCTCAGCCGAGATATTTTTTCCCATCCCACGGTTCATGCACCAAAGCGGCCAGGCGAGGAGAGTGTGAGCAGCAGCCAATCAACAGGCTGCACGGCTTGGCGCATTGGAGACAAACCGGTCACATTGATGCGAAACAGCGTGGGCTTGAAAATGGAACCCGTGAGGAATTGCAGACCGCCGACCATGCGCACCAGCTGACCGTACTTAACCTAATAAAAAGTAGGGTGCCCAGTACTTGAGTAGGTCGTCAAGACTCAAGAGCCGCCGTCAGGATTGTGCTGATGCGAGTATTGACGCCAGACCTCACACACACTACGCACTGTGACACACATGCAAGCTGCTGCTTAAGTAAGCAGTAACAAGCCAAACAACCTCGTGCCCCCTTCAGCCCTGCGCGCATCCGTGGCTGGATGTACCGCCCGAACAGCCAACTTGCAGCTTGGCTGTGTTTGAAAGTACTCCGTACGGAGCACCGCACTGTACTATTCTCGGCTGCATCGCAAGTTGCAGGTGCATCTTGTCGCATGGCTATCAGTGGCCATGTAAAACATTTTGCTTCGTGCACAGTGTGGCGGTTCGTCCATAAAGCACTACCACGTCAAGACGTCTTTTGTTGTGCCGGCTGTGAGCCATTTGACGACATTGCAGTCCCGGCGTTGATGCGTCAACTTAATTAAGTACCTAGGTACGTACTATCAACCGGTCCAATCTTGCCCAGTTACACCGGGTGTGGCCGCACCACACTATTTTGTGTGGTGTGCGGGTTGTGGGCCCGAGCTGCAGGTCACGTCTGGCCACCACTGAATTTACACAAGTTTGCTCAAACTTATGGGGGTTCTACATACAGAGTAGTTAGTTACTCCGTACGAATTTAGGAACGGTGACCTTTTTGTGAAATTTTTGTGCAAAGATCCAGACCAAGTTGTGAAGGCGCCCTTGGCATCCGCATCGCACCTCCATCATCAACTTTCGCTCTCGACCCGGCACTGCCACAGTCCACGGCCACGGCCATTGTGATGGTGGCTTTGCTTTCGTTTGGGTTAGTCAACCAACGACACTTGCGACAGGTAGTTATTGCTCCAAAAAGCCGGTCCTTCTTTTTCCGCACTTGCCTACATCGAACTGTCCTTCCGAATCATTCTGCCACGCAAACCGTGATCCGTTCGCATTTCTCCATCCCGTCTTAGTTCCGTCGTCGTCGATCCCTTGCTACAATGCCGAGACAATACGTCTTATTCGGCAAGCCACTCCCGCCAGTCACCACCCGGCGTCTGACCTTCTTGTTACTTGGCCTCTCTTTATTTGCCGTTGCCCTAATATCGACTCTGACATCCGGCGTGCCATCATCACCGAGTCTCTCGGCCTACGACACCAAGTTATCCGTCCCTCATGTCCCGCACATGCCGCATCTCAGTGGTTCGCTTTCCAAGACCTTCCTCAACCCCTTCCGACAAAAGTCACACCCGCCTCCGCATAACGACAAAGACGAATTTGCAGGATCGTCCTGGCTGGCTGATTGGACTTGGCTCAAAGTTCCCTTCTCCAGCACCATAACTGTCGACGAGGACAGGGCGTTGCTCCCCCCATTGAAACCCCGCCAGCCAGTGTACTGTTATTACGATGCGACGGCCAAGAAGACGACAGAGGAAAAGGACGCCGAGAGTGAGCTGCTCCTCACTTGGCGGCGAGCTTGGTGGGCGCAAGGTTTCAGACCCGTTATCCTCAGCGCTTCCGAAGCCCTGAACAACCCTTCGTATGATATCATTCAGAGGCTCAATATTGAATCCGAGTTCAAGGTAGACCTCATGCGTTGGCTGGCCTGGGACACCATGGATGGAGGCATCTTGACACACTACACGTTGCTGCCCGCAGTTGCAAAGGAGGATTCTCTACTCGCGTACCTCCGTCGTGGCGAGTATCCCCATTTGACCCGGTGGAAGGATTTGGGTGACGCGCTCTTCGTCGGCCACAAGGACCAAATCAAGTCGGCCATACAGGCAGTCACAAATGCCGATCCGGACAAGCTGTCGAATGTCAAAGCCCTCGTCTTTGGGGTGCCTGATGAAGTTATCAAAGTTGAAAAGGCCACCACGTCCCTGGCCGCGTACACTCCTGCCATCATGGCCAAAAAGTACGCCAAAGTTGCTGACGAAATCACCAAGCATCGTGCCCGTGGGCTTGTCAGCCTCAACAGATTGATCACTGCTCATTTGCATGTTGCTTGGCAGAATCGATTTTCTGATGGTATTGAAGTCATCAAACCTTTCCCGGACCACATGAGCACCGTGGTCAGCAATGCGTTGCAGCTGGCCCGGGATCTGGCCTCATGTTCAGATAGCCCGATGCCATCAACTTGTCCACCGAACCTGCCAAGATGTACACCATGCGTTGCCACGTCACCCATGCCAATCACAACGCCGCCTGGATTTCACAACGCGAGCAAAGTGTTCAGTATTGGCACTGTCCCTCATCCTTGGACCCTGACCCTGGTCAAGGATTTGCGAGAATCATTCAACGTATCCTGGATTCGACACGAGTCTCCACGGGACTCGTGGATTAAAACTGTCACGGAAGCCCTGCTTGGACCTGACGTCACTACTGCTCGCCGGCTGGTACGCCTCAAAGAAGCCGTAGCTGGCGACTATGCCACTGCTCGTTCTCTATGGATTGCAGCTGAAAAGGATCTACCTTCCGACATGAGCTGGTATTTTGGCTTCGCCATTCCAAAGAAAGCACTGGAAATGAGCCAGGGCGAACCTCCTGCCCACGCAGGCCGGCTGCCAGGAAAAGAAGTCAAGCGGCCCCACGAAAATGACGGCCCAGTAGTCACTGCGGAAGAGAAGAACTCACAACAGCCGCTCATTGACCAGGCCAAGAGGGTCATTAGCTTGACCAAGTCCACTGACGAAACAAGGCTCCGCGCATCCCTTGAGGCATGGAACATGGCCGATACGGAGATCTGGAAATTTGTTCGGGCCTTTCAATCACGCCGACACCAGGAGCGTGAGCAGTGGGAGAAGCTGGAGGCGACATACAGCCGTGGCTCTGGGACTGAGCAGGGCCGCAGTGCTTGGTTCCGTTGGCAAGATCGCAAGGGCAACGACGACCAGCCCAAGCAGGAGAAGGATACGAAAACCAAGGCCAAGTAAGAAATGAAAGCCTTGCAAAACATGTTGTCATTCGGCGTTACGGAATCTAGATGCTGATCTATCATACACATTTGTACATTCGCCGGTTACGAGAGGATCTTCTACTCTGACTCGTTGGGACGCTCGGATCATATGGTCGACACCAAGTTCAAAGATACGTTCAGAGGGTAGCAAGCCGAAAGCAAGAATGAATTTTTCGGCAACTATAGCAGACATGACAATGTTGAGTTGTCATGACCAGAAACGAAAAAGCAAATTTACCATCTCTATCCAGGGACAAAGGTCCGGTCACCCCGCAGCACAGACATGCGCCCACCGCTCAACTATTTACGCACGAACGGTATCACCACCCATCTCGCCACTCAATTCCCTCGACGTGAGACCGCGTCTATTCAAGCCCTCTTCCATGTCAATATCAACTTGGGCCACGACGCCATTCTTCTTGGTGCTATTCACAGCCGCCACGCCTCTCTTTTGCGAAGCACCTGCGTGGACACGTATGGCACGCCGCGCTGCTTGGACGCCCTTTTCAGCCTGCAGGAGAACTTCGGTCAACGCCCGAGCTATGGGATCCGTATCGGACTCAAGATCACTGGGTGCAGAGCAGTGTTTTTCCTCGAGGAGGTCACGGATATGGCCGTTAAGCCACACGCCATGGAGCTGTTGCGGCGTCATGTGCTTTGCGCCAGAGATGGTGCCGTGGCAAGTTGGATGACCACAGAGACAGGTGAACGGCTGGGCCAAGTCCCATTCTGTTGAGGGGTAAAAGAACTGGTGAAGTTTCAGTTTGTCATGAACGGAGGGGGCAGGGCGAGAGGGAACCAACAGTGAGTTCATCGCCGGGCTTGAGGCCGTTTGGGCCAACGAGAACGTCCATATTCCCAGTGTCAAAAATCTACGCAAGTCAACACGTTATCTGTGTCCATTGATCTCCTTCGCCTCACTCTCTACCCCCGACTCCCTCGTGTCGCACATGGAAAATTTCTTGGACAGGGCCGCATGGACAGGGCCGGTAACCCATGATTCATGGCATCGGATATAGCTGCAGGGCAGGGATGACTAACAAGAGACGGTTCACAAGAGTGATTGATATACAGCAAATCACTATTCAGATTCAAGTGGCTATGCCGGCCCATCTGCACGGTCGCGTAGGTGGGCTCGTCGGCAACAGTACAAGGCGGGAAGGTGAGCTTGGCAAAGACGGCAAACGGTGGGAGCGTGACTTTGGAGTAGCTCTTGGTGGTGAACTCTTGATCGTTGATGACGACTTCCTGAACGTCGGGGTGGGAGGGCTGCTGCCAGTGGGGGGTGAGGGGGGCCATGGCTTGCTTGATTGGCAGATTGTGGGAAGAGGAAGAGGGTGGTTATGGAATTGTAGAGCGAACTTATTGGCCTTTTTGTCCAGACCTGAGTTTCGATCCGTTCGGAGGTGTTTGGGGATGCTCGAAGGGGGGACGAAGTCGAGATGGACGGTACATGTATTTATTTGTACGTGGGCCGACGTGCCGGAATGTCCAGGTACCCAAGTATCCAATGTTTGCACCGGCAGCGCTTTCGCTCCACGGAACCTTGAACTCTATTAATATTCGAGGTAGTTATAACTACGAAGTACCCGGCGACGGGGATCGGCAACGAGGCCAGAGGGGGGAAACGACGCTAGGAGGAAGGGCTACCGCGGCTTTCCAGTAATAATCGCGGAATAGAAGGCCTCGTGCGTTCTCTCCTTTCTATCTTATTTCTCTCTTTCTCTCTCTCGCTCTCTTTCCATCCGTCCATCCGTCAGTCTTGATTTGATAAAGGTGCCGTTATTATAGACGGGTCAGATCGACTTGATTCTGCGTCACCAAGCGCCGGTGCCGATTGCCGAGGACCATAGTACCTTGGGTACCTAAGTAGGTACCTAGTACCCACTACTTAAAAGTACTTTAGGTTCTTAAGGTACGCAAGTACTTAAGCACCTACTCAAGTACTCAAGTACTTTAGGTAGTTCTATTACTTTGGTACTTAAGTGGCCAATAAAGGCTCGGTACTTTTGGACTATAAGTACCTACTTAAGTACTTACTCAAGTAAGCCGCCTGTCCAAGTACCTAGGTACTTAGATAGGCGCCGCCTAGAAGTAGTAGCGAAAGTGGCCGCCGCCTCGCGTCTCTGTCCCGTGTCGGCGACATGCCAATGCCGATTCGACGAAGCCTTGCCAACTTTCTGGCCACGCGGTCAACGGCAAGATCCGCTCGTCATGAAACTGCCGATATTGCCAGACCGGTACCATTGCCGTGTAAACAGGCATCCCGGCGATGTTTGTAGTTTGACCTCATCATCAGGAGTGCACGCCCGCCCTTCTCAACTTCCCAGTCATGACTATATGTCTTCTCCATCGCTCGTCAGGCCGAAGCGAGAAGTCATCGAGGGCCCCATATCAAGGTATGTATGTAAGACACGTCTTGGATCTTGGTCCTTGAGAGGCCCGCACGGAGTGGCACAGCTGATATTGAGTGTTTGTCGCAGAATCAGAAACGGCCGGCCCAGCATACCGATATGGCTTGCTCGATTTCTCTGAGCTGCGGTCGGAACCAGGTGTGGAAGCCGCCGTGGCGCCGATGAGGCCGGATATGCCAGCTGTGACTGACGACCTTGACGTCCGAGCTCCAAGACGGGACGTCTTTCATGACGAAACAAGGTCCCGAACTATGTAGTGCGGGTTGCCATTCTTTGAATCTCGTCAAGTCCGAGCTACTTACTAAGTAGTAGTGGTGGCTAAGGGTGAAAGAATCCTCCGTCTAGTCCCTACAGAACTTGCCCGTCCTCCATCTGCCTTTTTTTGGTTCTGATAGTTACCCAGTGTTTGCTTCTTTGAATGGGGTCAGAGTCTGCGTCTGGGAAAGGGGACTGGTAGCCTGTAACTGGCAGTTGGGAATCGGATGAGGTTCCGAATACGTTCCACCTGTCGCCGCTCCGTTCAAACTGGACAACGGATGCGGCAGATCCTTCACCGCAGCCAAAAACAATCATTCCCAACCCGGAACCTGATGAGCCGGACGAACAGCAGTACAATGCGAGCACTGACAGGTTGGTGGACAAAGTATTCTGATTGAGCGAGGTATCTGTTCCAGGACCTTATTCTCGTGGATGCCGAGGATTGACATTGGCTAAAGGTCCTAGATGGAGTGGTGTTTTGGGAAGTAGTAGTAGGACTGGAGCGACGGTGCAATTAAACGGGATGCGTACACCACCTGGTGAAGGCAATGCATACCTGGAGTATGCCGATAAGTGTGTTACAGCTCATCATTTCCAATCATTCTTCTACCCCTGTGTACAAGCCAACTACACATCTGGGTAGGTAGTCGGGGATTTTTGGACTCAACATGCAAACTGTTTCTGCTCTACTTAGACCAGGTATTGCTCTTGTTTTTGCCCATCTTTCTTCTATTGATGGCCCATGGAGTCCTTTTCTTGGCTTCTCCTTTTTATAGACGCTTGCCAATGCTATAGTCGTCCATTGTTGCTTGCGTTTCCCCGTACAATCCCCCTGTCGTCTATTGTCGTCGTATAGCCAGCCCCATGCGTTGTCCCCCCCTCTGTCAAGATCGGTCATGAGGACAGCGAGTTTCCGTGGAATTCTCTTCTTATTTCAAGGGTTTCCTGGCTTGCCGGCTGTACCCTCATCAAGCATCAGCTGTCATGAAGGGGATCGTGCAAGTTCGCCTAGTCCTCGCGCTATCCTTAAACAAGAAACGATCTTGTCCGCAATTGCATTTCATATTATTGTTTTTCTCCCTCGTTTCTACCGCACAGCTTGGTCAGAAGGCAGTGATGATGGATATTCTTCTGGTTACAGAAGCGTGGCTCTCATCCCGTCGTCGCGCCTGAGACCGCTCTTTCCATCTTGATTTCTCGGGCTTCTTTCCGTTTGGTTTGTCTTTTCGGGAAGGACCTTCCTTCCTTCCCTTTCTCAAACACCGCAACCCATTCGTATGCACCGAGTTACCCCAAGTCCTCTTGCCTCTCCTTACTCACCTCCTCATGTCTCCAACTTGGCCGTCCCCAATCGAAACAGCCACGGCTGCTGCGGCTGCTCTTACTCTCCTTGATGTCTCTTGGGTATGTTGCTGTGGATGGCACGTTGATGAGCCATGTTCTAACAATCATACAGACTCGACTTCTACTTCTCAAGCTCTTTCTCCTTGTCGGAACAAGCCATCGTTGCATTCATCGTATCTACAAAACCCTCTGTTTCGTCGATCCCGCGTTTCTTTGGTTCTATCCAACCGCCCGTTCAACCGAGAGTGTAACAATCAAGGCCTTGTATGCATACTGCTCTCTGACTGCTTTCTGAGCAATCTCTTGCGTGAGTTCTTCTTTCTTTGCGTGTGCGCCATGTACATTTCTCCTTGTTCTGTGCACTTGTCCTTCGTCGATCAAAACCCCCCTTTTCCCCCCATTCCCATACCGCCCGTTTAGCATCTCGTTCCTTGGATCCGAGATTTGTTTGTCATAGTGTCTTTGGGGTCATGCTGGCCATTATATTTGTCTTGCTCCTTGGTCCTCGGTTGTTCTGAAGATTGTGTCGTATTCCTAAATTTCTGGCAACAATCCGCCGTCGGCAGCTTCCATACATTTCAATCTTGACGGTGGCTCACACCACCACTCTGTGCATCGGCAACGTGCGGGCATACACAACGCTTGCTTATCATCGCCGTAATTACCTTACATTTCCCATCTGGCTCGTTTGAAGAGAAATCAACATGGTCTTAACCAAATCAAGGAGGACAAGACGAATTCTTCGTTGCCTCTACGCTGCCCAACAACATGACCACTTATTGAGTCCTTCAGCCACTCCCCTTATTCGGTATAATTTGCTACACAACTATCACCGCTGCATACAGGTCACCGTGGATCTAGGGAAGCCACTAGATCAATCGCCATGCATCATAGCATTTCATGAATTGTCTTGGTTTCTTCGATCCCAACTCGAGGCACAGCAAATCACTGACACGGGCAAGCTTTGGTCACAGGTCGCACCCATTCTGACTTTCATTCAAGCCAACATACGGATACTTGGCACAGCACACAAATTCCCCACCTTGTTCATTTGGCAATCGAAAGAACAGCACCGTTCTTTCTTCTTTTTTGCTTTTGTTGACGTCAAAATGGTCTCCAAGACTTATACGGCTCGGGAGTTGCTGCGAATGAGACAAGTCTCCGCAAGTAAAAACCTGTACGACAAACTGTGCCAAAAACTACACAGCGACGCTGCTTTTGGTGAGGCCTGACTTTTTATATCACTTTATCCCTTGATCTCGTCTGATTTTGTACTAATGTCTGAACTCTCAGGCGAGATATTTCGAATGTCTCCTGAACGAGCCCTTCCCCTGATTCAGGAGGAGGCATCAGACAATATTAATGCAGGCGACGCTGCTGTCCAAGAGTCTTCGGTTCGCCAGCTTGATGGCACCGATGCAGAGTGGAAATATCGGGGCCGAACAGAGTCTGAACATGGAGAGCACCATCCGATAGGGGCTCCGGCTGGCCTTGCCGCCCAGAAAGACGAAGGTTTCCAGAGATTTTACAAGGCAGTCGTGTCCCCAACTCACGTTCGAGTTACAGCAGGGGGCCGCATCGTTCCCAATACTAGGGGTTCGTCGTCGCCAACGGCCAAGTGGACAAGAGAAAAGGTTGGAGGAGAATGCGGTTACACCCAACGTTCAGCCAGCAACGGCCACGGAGACGTGCCTATATATTCCATGCCCGCGGCCATGTCACATCAAGCGTTTGGAGCCTTCCCCCCTCTTTTCCCTGGTTTCTTCCCTGGTATGCCCGCTGCCTTGGCTCACGGTGCTCCTCACCCCTTTCCCCTTACCCCTTGGCAAATGGGCTTTGGAATAGGAAATTCTTTCGGCATGGTCCATGGCCCTGCTTCCCCGACACCAGCGGTCAAGCTTACAACAAAGTCCACCGAGACACCAGCAACAAGCGACAAGCAGGGAGATTCTACCAACTCAGAAAGCTCCAACTCAGTCCGTATTTCGCCGCCGGAGAACTTTGATCCTAGCAGACCATATTATGTCCACGGCCAATGGGTCACACCTGGTGGCAGTCCGTTCTATCCCTACGGCATGACGCCTCTCCCAGGCTTTCCTGTTGGAGGACCTGCGATGATGCAACCCAGATACACTTTGGGGACTGCGATGCAGCCTATGCAAGCGAAAACAGACCGGCCAATGCAAATACACACTCCAGTCACGTCTTCGTCGACTGCTCCCAGCTTGACTGGACACTCTGCTGTCCCGATTTCGTCTATTCGTCCCAGTGAAATAACCAAGAAGCAAATAGAGAGTCTAAGATCTACTCTTCGATACTATGAAGATCAACTACAGTACAACAAACATCAGATTGACGAAAAGAGCATGGAGAATCAAGCCGAAATGGTTCGAGAGCAGATTCAACAGTTTGCCAAGACCTTGAAATCCCAACTTGACGCGGAGAAGACCCATTATCCCAAGTCTGAGATTCAACAGGAATCATGCAGCTCAGTCCTTCATGAAAGAGACGCAGCATCCCCAGCAACAAACGAAGTCAAATCGGACCGGACTTCCCGCCAGTCTTCAGTCTCTCAAACGGCCGCAGTTCATGCGCCGTCAACAAAAGGACAGAAAGCTTATGACTTGTACAGCAGTCGGCGCTCTTCCACCTTGAAATCCGCGAAGTCTGCGTCTGCCCCCGTCTCTGCAAAGATAACGCCAGATTCGTCTGAATCGAGTGAGCCTACCAAAAAGGCCTCTACTCTACCCGTTAATGCTGCTCTAGCACCTCCATTTCATCCTCGAGGAGACAGCAGTGCTTCGGTTCCCGTACCGATTCTCGCTCCCATATCCTCAGGATCCTCGGCTCAAGACACGGGCTATGATCAGGGAACGAAGGACGGTCATTCGGCAGACTCGACTAGCTCAGAGAGCTTTAATGAAAAGCCGTATTTGATTGGGAGGCTGCCCGAAGACAGAAGTCTCGAAAGAGGCAATTCACCCGGCTATTTGTACAGCCGTGAGCTGACGGAAGACGAGTTGCGGGCTCGCCACATGTACTGGGGCAAGGCACCTCGCCATCTTCAGAAGGGGCTACCTAAATTTGATGGCAAGGACTTCTATCCCCCCTCTCCTGTCAAACCGCAGCGTCCGACGTCAGCATCCGGCCCCGCAGTGCAAGGTCCTCCGACTCCTCGTGGGGGTGCTGATACCATGGCGAAGACGTCAAAAGTCGTTGTTGACCCGTTCCGATCTCTTGGTAGAGCTACTCAGCGTCTGTCTCGCAGTGCGCTTGGGGCTGCAACTCAGTCCGAAAACTTGACAGTCTCTGACGAATTACTGGAAAACCAATACAGGGACCACCAGAGCACGGGCTCGAACAGCGGGCCAGCTGGCTCTAGCTACGATGATTTTTGAAAGGCTCTGGTTGAAAACGCAGAAGATTTAGCAGACGGGTGCAAAGAAAAGTCTTCTGATGACGACGACGGCTCCAACATCTTGTTTCGAGGACGAAAATGCATGGCAACAAACGGGTGAGAGCTACGAAACTATATCTACCATTGTATCTACTAACCCAAGGCCAAGCAAAACTCGAAATGAAATTTGGCAAAGCATGTGGAAACGAAGCAAGTCCAGCGCCACTGCCGTACCCGGTACAGTATCTTCAATGACGGCACGAGGTGTATTGCCAAATTATGCGGGCCATGCCACTGCATCTCTCACACCAACGATCGCTAACGCATCGACCTCGCCAAAAGGGACGTCTTCCAAATTGTCTCCAGCTGACGACAACACCCCATCTAACATCAGACCGAAAAAGCTGGAGAATCGACCCCCTTTCGTCTCCGGAGTCAAAGAAACAACTTGATGATTGGCAATTCTTTGGTCGGTCTTGGTCAACATGCCGCCAAGGCGTGCGTATATGCGAGTTCCTACCTACTGTCGAATCCCAAACCGTCAAGAACAGTAGCAAGAGCATTAATTATTGCTTTCATGCTTATAGACTATATAAGTAGCTCGCCAACACAAATGTTGGCTGTTGTATGACTAGCCTTTTACTTCGGTACGCTTGACGAGCTATCTGGAATTTGATGCCAGACAACGATATAGATATTCATTTCTAAACAGCCACAGCAACTAATTGCTGCGTTTCTACGGCGGATGCTGCGCCGGTATCGTTCAGACAAAGACATACATATGCTAGGGAAATGTGGCAATGATATGCAGGGAGGAGTTGCGGTTTGTTATTTCGCCTTCGGACTTGATACATCTATCAGCACTGCGTTTGTCGATGCCACCAACAAGACTGTGCTCGGATACCACCCACCGGTTGCCGGTTACAAGACATGAGATACATCAAATGCAGTTGACATATGAGCTTCTGTGTAGAATAGAACTAGCTATTTGCCCACCGAGGTGAAGAAATGATAGAAAATAGACCACCGCTGCATACTTTACATTTTGTTCTGACAGGCGGGGGGCCGCCCCAAGTCATGACGTGTAATGGGAAGCCTGACGGCTCGAGTGTTGCGCATGGACCGTGAATGGAGTGGCATGTTTGACGTTTTAACCTCGAGTCAATCTTGGGCATGTGCCTTACCATCAAATTTCCATCTTCACTGAGACAGTCCCTCGGTGAAAATCTTCGGGCAAGAGTAGGAGACTGGTGATAGTACAAATTGCTCCTACTTGGGTTGTTCTTCGCCAGTCGTATACCTCGAAAACCATTGGCTCAGTGGCTGACGCGGAGATATCCTAGCGGAAGGCAAGTAAAATACACCACCCTTGCTCAGAGAGGGAGCCTACAAGTCTACGACAGCTCTTGTACACAGGAGAGCTGATTCCCTGGTACCACAGCCGAACAGAGCATCAAATTTGAAGCCAGCCCAGCCAGGGTGAAACGAAACCAGTCACGGTCACGAGAAGAGATGACGAACAAGGGGCAGTGTGACTTCGGGAAACGCCTCCCATGGATCATTCCACACAAAATTGGTGAAATGGCCATTGAGAACCAAGAAATTCTCAATTCATCTACCCTGTCGCGGACGATGACCTGCTGAGCAGGCATCTCGAGGGGGAAAAGGGGAAAACTCGCGCGCAAGAGTGTCGTGCCCGTCCGGTCCTTTGCCTCAAATGTGCCCCCAAATTGCAATCATGTCTCATAGTTGTTTGTTTCTCCTGAAGGTGTATTTTTTTCTTGTCTGGTTGTGTGTGTGCGTGTCTTACGGCGGTCAAGCCGAGCATGCACTCTAGGCGGAGACGACGTTATTGGCGCGCAGCTCACGGCCGACCTTGGAGCGGGCCAGGATATCCTCGCGGTCCTTGTCGAGCTTGAGCTTGGTGATGACCACGTTGGAGGGGTGGATGCCGAGGGGGACGGACTGGCCCGAGGCCTTGTCGCGGGTGACGCGCTCGACGTGGATGACGTATTTGAGGCGGTAGACGGACGTGACCTTGCCCTCGCGGCCTTTGTTGGTGCCGCGGACGATGGTGACCTCGTCGTCTTTGCGGACGGGGATGCTGCGGACCTGAAGGGGGGGGGAGGGGGAGGGGGTCAAGTTAGCACGGCTGCGCTTGCTTGGCGGATTGTTCGTTTGAGAGAGAGAGAGACCAACGTTGTACTTCTCGCGCAGCTCCTTGCTGAGGGGGGCGCTCATGATGACGCGGCGCTGGCTGGAGGGAGCCTTGAAGTGAGCGGCTCTGCTCTTGCGCCGCGAGGACGAGACGGCTGAGTGAGGAGCGTGAGCGATCGTGGTACTTTGGCCGAGGGGGGGCGGTTGTTCTTGCTTGCAAGCGTGTGTTGCGTTGCGTCAAGTGTGGTTTGCTAACTTACTGCTGCTGACTTTGGCCATTGGGACGGCGGTGCTTGCTGAGGAGCAACAAGGGGCAATTCGGCGTTGGGTGAGGGAGAAACGGGATGCGGTCGCGGGCTGGTCCTTCGTGCAAGAAACTTTTGCTGATGGCGTTGTGGGTTGAAAATTAGGCGAGTGGTGTGGGGACCACGTGACGAAAATTTACCCTACTGTGCAGATTGAAAAGGAAGGGGGAGGCTGAGTCAGCTTCGTCGGCGGACGTTGACGGGGACGGTGAGTACGGAGGGCCTATACCGGATTAGGTCGCATGGATCATGTCCCTTTCTTCAGTTTAACAGTGTCGAATACGTGGACGAATCCTTACAGAGTGTCGTGTTGGAGAAGCTCTGTTGAATACTGAAATTTATCATGTCAATGATTGAGTGATAATCGTATATCGCACGGTCTGACGCGGAAGCAATTCTTTCATGTGCAAAAGTACATGGCTTAGGCCACACAACGATGTATTCTATATTCCTTCCTTTCCATGGTACAGTCCTTCTTCTCACCCAGACCAGTCTAGGCGGTGTCGGAATCGGAACAATGCGGCCAGCAGCCTAAGCCACGGCAGGAGCCCTGAACCGGCCGTTGTTGTCATATCGCGCTTCTGTAGGTAACACGTCAGCAGCCGGATGCCTCAGGGAGCGCATCACTGGCAGAGGGAAAACGCACTGAAAAAGGTGTAGTTGAGCGTGACTGTTTTCACACCCTTCATGTTCAAGTCATTCAACAGGTCGGGGTCGAGGTAGAAAAAGACGGGCATGTCCACAGTCTCCCCGGCGTTCAACCTCTGCTCCTCGAAGCAAAAGCACTGGATCTTGCTAAAGTACGGCGCACACTGCGCCGGCGTGACGCTGTACGTTGCCACGCCAATGATGTCCTTGTCGCCCTTGTTCGTGGCCTTGTAGAAGGCGAGGGCGGTCTCGCCCGGCAGGACGCGGACCTCGCGCTGCTGGGGGACGAATTTCCAGGGGAGCTCGTCGGAGACGGAGGCGTTGAAGGTGACTTTTATTCGGTTGGCGGATGTGATGGGCACGAGGCGGCTGGAGATGTCGCTGTCGTAGGAGCCGCCGTGTGCGCGGACTGGTTGGCCGCCCCAGCCGGTGGTTTGGCAGATCTGCAGCGAGGGCGAGGCGGTTATTTGGTGGTGCTCTTGTCAGTGTTTGTTGATGGCGATGGCGGGATTTGGTTCGACTTGAAACGGAACGTACCATTTTGTACAGAGGCACGGATCCGTATGACAGGGCGACAGTGCCCAGAATCAAGCTGATGGTGTAGTAGCTAGACGGGGGGAAACAATGAGCTTCAATTGCACCGCCGACGACGGAATCAAGGGCAGACATACGCCACTGTCTGGTTCTTTCTGTTGTAGTAAGCCCTGATCTGCTCCATGGATGGTGTTCCCTGCTGAGACTGTTGCGCTGCCGCTCCTCCTCGCGGGTTCGACGTCGATGCATTTCGGCGAGGGTTGTGCAGGCGACGCTGCAATTGGGACCGCTGGGCTCGGGTGTTGCGGCAGAAGAAGCACACACGTTGTGGCGAGAGGGTACCCGTGGGGCTGCGCGCCAGCCGTGATGCGCTGTTCATTGTGTTTCGCGTTTCGCGGGCCGATGAAGTCGTGGTGGAAAGGTGCCGCTGGGGTGATGATGATTGATGATGTTCCCCATGTCAATTCATGTTTGTCACACCCCACAAAACGGGGCGCGGCCACGCCACAGTATTTGGCACATTATGCCACTTTTTTTTTTTTTTTTTTTTTTTTTTTTTTTTTCCCCCCATTTAGTAGAAACGAGCTCACACGACGACGCCGGCCGAAAATGACACTTCCCTAGCATCTGGGGGAATAACCAAGAAACTTGGGCAGCTCGGGTGAGGTTAGGGTCAACAGCTTTCGGCAGGCGAGTTTGCTGTGCAGAGGTTGGCCGCAGCTAGTCCTAGCCACTCTGCACGAGTTTGCGGCTTTGATCTAATAGACTATGGAGGATCAACTTCTCTCACCACTCTCCTTATTCCATTTCAATAGTGCCCGGGGGTTTGCTGGTGATGTCGTAAGTCACGCGCGCGATCCCGACGACCTCGTTTACAATACGCGTTGATATCCTCTTCTGCAAGCCGAAGTCGAATTCGTAAGGCTCTGCCGACATGAAATCGAGTGTCTTGACGGCACGAAGGATAGCGATATATCCGTAGACCCTGGCATCGCCTTGGACACCCACAGCCCTATCCTGGCTAATCGCAACATAGGCTTGACTCATCAGATCGTACACGCCAGCCGCCCTGATCTCGGATATGAAGATGTTGTCGGCAGCTCGGGCCATAGCGACCCTCTCAGGAGTCACCTCGCCCAAGATTCGAATGGCGATGCCAGGGCCAGGGAACGGGTGCCGCATGAGAAGATCTCTGTGGATGCCCAGCTCTGCCCCAAATTTTCGAACCTCGTCCTTGAACATTTCTCGCAGCGGCTCAATGAGCTTAAGCTTGAGTGTTTTGGGCAAGCCGCCAACATTGTGATGGGTCTTGATAGTTGCACTTGGTCCTAGAACTCATTATTAGTTTGCTGAGCTTGCTTTTACGAACATATGCAGGATCTCCACCTTTGTAAGAGACACTCTCGATTACATCAGGGTAGAGGGTGCCTTGCAAAAGCCAAAGAATAGGGCCTGCGTTTTGTGTCTTCTCGGCTTCCTGCTCTAGTCGGCTTGCTTCCTTTTGAAAAAGATGCACAAAGGTTTCTCCGATAATCATGCGCTTCTGCTCAGGCTCAGTCACACCCTTGAGACGGGAGAGGAACAATTCCGCTCCATCAACAACCGTCAGGTTGATGCCAAGATGCTCTCTAAGAGTCTCCTTGACCTGTTCGCATTCGTTTAGCCGCATCACACCATTATCAACCAGAATAGCGTGGAAGCGATCGCCAATTGCCTCTTTCATAAGCTTGGCTGCAACAGTCGAATCGACCCCCCCGCTAATTGCGCCAATAACCTGTGCGCTACTGCCAACAAGGTTCCTGATGCGAACGATTTCCTTGTCCCTGAAGTTTTTCATCACCCAGCTAGCTTGCGCTCCACAGATGTTGACAGCAAAGTTGCGCAGAATCTCAATGCCACGCGGCGTGTGCTCCAGCTCTGGGTGGAATTGCACGCCATAGATTGGCTTTGTCTGGTGAGCGATTCCGGCATATTCAGAGTTTTTGCTGCTCGCAATCACCACAAATTCAGAGGGCAACCTCGTGAGCTTGTCAAAGTGACTCATGTAGACATGTATCGTCTCGCCTAGACCGGCGAAGAGGCGATTGATGCTAGAGTCATTTGTGTGATGGATATTCACGTCGGTATGGCCATACTCTCGGTGCTCTCCACGGGCAACGTTCTCCGAGTTGATCCTCCAAGCGATTTCCTGGCAACCGTAACAAATACCCAAGATCGGAATACCGAGCTCCAAGATAGCGGGGTCGACGTGGGGTGCGTCTTGATCGTAGACAGATGACGGTCCTCCGGACAGCACAATGCCCTTCGGCTTGAAGGGAAGGTCCGCCAGTTTGGTGGTGCACGGCAGCATCTCAGCATAGACCTGGAGGCTTCGCAATCGACGGAGAATTAAGTGACTCGTCTGGCTGCCAAAGTCCAGGACCAAAATAGTGTCGAATTCATTGTGAGGCTCCTTGGCCTCGATGTCGTCCGCCATCTTGAATCCTTGCTCGGTTGCGAATGCGAGAATTGCCGTAAAATTTCAAAATGGCAAGAAGCTCTGTCTGTGTACGCAGGGTCGTGCGATTTGTGCGTCAGTAAATCGCTATTCGATTCGCGCGGCACTAAGCCTAATTTAGTGACCCCTCCCTCTAAGCTGCAACACCCCGCCATACAAATTTAGTGGTGGCATGGCAAGCATTATCACGGAAACGCCCGCCGTCCCAACGAGATTCAACAAGACAAGGAAACAACAGAGATGTTTTCAATACAATGACGGGCGAGGACAGATACACCCTCAAATACAAATATCCCATGCGACAATATTCGTCGAGGGCTTGGTTGTGAGATGACGTTTGCGCGCGCACGCCGTCGCCCTTGAGTAACAACAGAGCGACGACAATATTGATTCAATACTTAAAATTTGGAAAGACCTGGATAGTGGCAGTTAGCAGAGGCTACCGCTCGATTCACCCATCTCGCGTGCGCCCATCGATCAATTTTTCCATAGCCGTCAACACAACCAACGAAGTCTACATCCAGCACCCCTTCAACACGGGGGGTAGTGATTCACAGATTTAAAGATGGACATGCCTCTAGTATTTCATCTTCTCGAGTTTCAATCAAAGTTGATGTCTGCTCGCAGACCTTGAGACAGATAAAAAAAGTATGACCTAACAGTCCGAAACGAGAACATCGACCCTAGACCTGCGCCAAAGTGCGAGTGTTGTCGCCCCGGCATGTGACCGTCGGTAATAATACAAATCACGTCATCCAAAATCATGCAACCTTCTCTAGAACCCGCCTTGGTTTGACTCCATTCATGGCTGGCTTTGCCGGGCGTCTGCTTACGCCGGCTAGGCGCTCCAGCATCTGGATGACAAATACTTGGACAAGCAGAATAAGTAAACGCGCGAAATGGTCCCTAAGGTCCAACTTTGGTTTCTTTCCCCGGCTAAATGTTGAATCTACAACATCAAACGGCAATTTGGCACCGAGATGTTCTTGTGCCACGTGCAGGCCGCTGGTGAAGCCATCTTCATGAAATCCATATTTAGTCCATGCACCGGCATAACTAATTCCCCTTTTATTTTGTATATGACGCAAAAACTTCTGTGCTCGAACCGCTGTCGGAGTGTACAATGGATGCGAATAGAAAGATCTTGCCTTGGTCAAAGCGGTGCGAGGGCGATGAATGGGGTTCAAGGTGACAAGAACGTCGCCGAATAGCTGTCGAGGAACGTGCTGCAAGATGTTCATGTTGTAGGTCAAAGACACTTGGTCGACGTTGGCTTTGGATGGCGAAGATAGCGTGAGGTAATTCCAGCTCGACCACGCCTTGCGGTTCTTTGGCATGAGTGACAGATCCGAATGCAAAACAGCTTCGTTCTGAGACGTTTGGAAGCAAGATAGAATGGCACGTTCTTGGTCGGTCGCAGACGATCCCAAAATGGCCAATGCCTGGTCGCCATGAGTAGCCAGAATGACATGGTCAAAGGTGTCTGATTTGCCATTCTCAAAGTGCAACACGACACGGCCGTCGTCGTCGTTCGAGATTCGTCTCACGGCCGTGTTCAAAAAGAGATGATTAGGCGGGAAACCTTTCATCACAGCATCGATATATGATTGTGATCCTTCCCTCAATGTCAGCCAGTCGGGCCGAGCAGCAACAGTAGAGAGAAGATGGTGGTTCCACCTATACAACGTGCGTCAGATCATAATTCTAGGGGCAACCATGTTCTTTCATCCATAATACTTACATAAATCGTACAAGTGTCAGGATTGGGAATTCCAGACTGCACTTGTCAGGGCTGGTACTCCACACAGCAGCCGTCATCGGTATTAGGTAGTCGTCTCGAAAGGCATCCGAGTATCCCTCGCGGTCCAGGTATTCACCAATGGTTTCAGTTCGGCCAACAGAATCCAGCACATTGTCGGTCTCTTTGACCGGTTGCTCATCCTCGGAATTAATGATGACATCAAGCGCAAATTGGTTGAATCGTATTATGTCGAATATCATGCGCCACATTCTTAATGAAAAGATGTTGCCCTTCTGGCAAAAAATTGTGCCCAGGTTTGTGCCTGCCCACTCAAACAGTCCTTGATCTCGCGACACACCAAATGTCATTTCGGTTGGGTCGACTGGAATATTAAGCTTTTTCAAAAAATTGATAAAATTTGCTAATGGTTTTTGGCAAGTGTAAGTTATTCAGAATATTGTCTTGTGGGAAGTGACGAAAAGACAGGTTATCAGCGTGGCCACTCACGATAAGTTGCACTATTCAAAACAATGAATCCGGTGTCGACTGCCGTCGAATATTTTCCCACTTTCCATTGAACAGTATTGGTATGGCCACCTAGTCGATCGGCGGCTTCATAAAGATAGACATCATGATATGTTCTATTCAGTGCCCACAATGCAGCTATACCTGTACACCCACTCCCAACAATGGCTACCTTTTTCCTGGTCGAGGAGTCAGCAGAGCGGCTCATGGTGAATGGTATGTAGTATGCCGAGGAAAGCGGGAGAGAGAAAGAGACGAGGGACAGTGACGCGAGCTGTTCAATTGAAGCCCAAACAGTGAGTGCTTTGAAATGCAGAGTCGAAGCCTGAGAGAGAGGATGGGCGCGGGCGCGGGCGCGGGCGCGGCGGGGAGGCATTCACATGCTCACACTTTTTGGTCAAGGAAACACGGCTTGAAGACTATATACCCAGAAAGCGTTCACGGGCGTCCTCATGCAAGTCGCATTTAAACGGCTAGCTGGGATGGGGAACATCAAGTGGAAGCATGTGGCACAACTCTGCTGCCGCTGAGTGAGGCATGATGTCAAGTCGAGCCTGATTCGATGAGGTTGGGAACTCTGCTCCCAACATGGCCTCGAATGAGACATGGCAGTGGCTGAAGTGAACTTACGTGTGCTGTGGCCGTGTCATGGCGGCCAAAATCAAAGCGAAATTAAAACAAACCAGCACGCCAGAGGATAAGACGAAATGATGGTAGATGATAAAGTAGAGACGAGACAACTCTGCCGAGGCGGAATGGGGATGCGGACTTAAGTACTTGAAGACGGACAGAAAGAATGTCAGTCAGTCAGTCCTGGGCATGCGCATGACCTTCTTTGTCGCAGGTCGCGCCTTCCGAGCTCACTTAGCTTGCATATGTCTGCAGCGTGAGTGTCTGTCGCTGGCGTCACCGTGGATGGACCTGGGAGCTTGGGCACGGATGTTGCTCAATGGCAATGTCGCAGCCGACATTTGTCTGCCAATTGGACTTTTGTTGTCTCATCAACGTCAACACTCAACGATGATCTAGTCCGACAAGGGACTGAACTGAGCATTGGACGACCACAACTGCCTCCCCACACCGCCTCCCCACACCGTTGAGCCTCTAGGCCCAACCCAGCCTGGCTGACTTATCGACCTCAAACCCCAACAAGTGGTCTGGTCTCAACAAAGGAGAGGGTCTACTCTAGGTTACGAATCGACTGCGCGCACACTTTACTTCACTTCTCAGCTCCGTGAAGGCCGCGGACCGTGAAAAAGGCATGTCGAGCACTCAACGGGATCGGTCAACGTCGGTTCGAGTCGCCAATTCTTAGAAGCGCCGTGCAGGCAAGATACAAATATTACCTTACATTGATATTCCCGGTTAATACAACTGCGCGCCATTGTGACAAAAGCCACGGCACCCAGCCTGTTTTCTTCATTCCCGGGGAAATTCAACTTTCTGTGAAGAAGCAAAGAGGAAAAGCTTTCAAAATCTGGCACTAGGAGCGTGATATTAGGCCCGGCATGAAGGTGCACGGACCATGTCCCATTCGGCGTCTCACGTGAACTGCTCTATGTGTGGCTGGTGTTCCAAGGGGGGCCTGTGACGGCTCTCCCGCGAAGTTGGCAACAAATGCGACCGACGACAACAGCCTTTTCGCCCTCAGCTACAAGACTCATTCCGCTTTGATTAGAATACCTTTCTCTCTTCTTTGCACCAACTTCCCGAAATCCTCTCCTTCCCTCTCCGTTCAGCCGTCTTAGCTTGCCCCCCATATCCGCCTTGCGTTTCAAAGTACATCCGGCACTATGTCTAACCCTCTCGACACCGAGGCTGGCTCTGAGCTGTTCAACTCCTATGAAGCAGAGCTTAAGCTTGTACAGGCCGATCTTCTACAGAAACTAGATCAAATCCCAGAGCTGTCAGGAGATCCTCGCAAAAGTGCTGTGTCTCAAGCCGAGCGGGCTTTAGAGGAAGCAGAGGAGATTGTATGTTTGTCCACTGCGCCCTGTTTTTTTTAATCCTCTTTGCCAGCAAACAACAAAATCTGACCGTGTCATAGTTGGGATCTATGCGCCTAGAGAAACAAAACATTCCAACATCCTCACGAGCCAAGGTCAATCAACGATTCCGCAACTACGAATCAGATGTCGACTCTCAGCGCCGGAAGCTGAAGACTTTCTCTAGTGAGGACCAAGGATATGCATCACGATACAGAGATGAGCCTGAGGGTTCAACAGACGCCCATCTTGAGCAGCGCCAGCAGTTACTATCCGGTACGGATCGTCTCGATAGAAGCACCCAGCGTCTAAAGGCGAGCCAGCAACTAGCCTACGAAACCGAGGCCATCGGGGCTAGCACGCTGGCTGACCTGGGGGCTCAGCGTGAGAGAATCCAGCAGACGCACGACACCTTACTTAACAGTGAAGGCTACGTCGACAGAAGTGTAAAGACGTTGCGGGGGATGGCTCGTAGGTATGGAGATTCCTCGTGGATCCCCGCCTGAAGGTATAATAGTGAGCAACAGAACTAACAAAAAGTTTTCCAGGATGGCGACGAATAAGATGATTACCATTGCTATAATCACTGTTCTGGTGCTTTTGATTGTCGCCGTCATCATTAGCAAATTCAGGTAATTCGTATTTAGCAGTTTGGAGTTCCGGTTATGCATATGGCGACGTCAGCTTACCTACTTTTATTCGCGTAATGGGAATCTTCTGTTTTCGGGATGAAGTTATTGATCTTGTGTGTAGTATGATTATTGGCCGCCTTGATGGGATGAACCCTAGACTTTGATGCGAATACAGGGAGCAGTTGCTCCGTCATTTGCCTGCACGCAATGATATCATCCAACAACCTGCATCTAGATAATCGAACAGCGTGAATATGTGGACAGCTCTGACCACATTGCAGAGCAGAGTGCCACCAGCCTTCCTGGTCTACGATGAGAGAGCAGGCGGCTCCTTCACCCACTGTTCAGACACGGGGCTTGAGCAACACTGATTGACTGGAATGGCAAAGAAAGCATCAACTTATAAAATTACTCACACAGTAAATGGTAGTAGCATTTCAACCCAACCGCCAGGATATGGCACTTCAAGCTCCTGGGCGTGTTCCGCTTCTGGCAAAGCGGCGTTCACTGCTGCAGCCTGCCGACAGTGCGCACATGTGGGGCTTTGCCGAACAATTTCCGCTGTACAACCGACCACGAGCTGTGCCCGGGTCGAAGCTCTCCAGCCTCTTCTCGAGGCGGCTCAACACGCAAATCTTTCCCGGCACAAACCTTCTTCCCTCAACTCCGCAACTGTACTGGGTTACGTCGTCGCGCGCCTCACTCTCCAGGCGTCGACTCAACGCCCCTCTAGCTCTCAGTATATCGTACGGAGTAGTGCAAGCAATTCACGAGTACCATCTGCAATCACTTTCTTCCCTCTAACCCACGCAGCTGCGACGTGCTTAACGGGGCCGTTTTGCAGCCATGTCTGAATTCTTAGGGTACGCCCAGAGCAAATTTTGCGTCCGGGCCACGGTGTTTCTCATCTGACTTTATCCTAGCTCTCGTATCTCACTGATATCCAAGAGTGATATCCGGTAGGTTTCTATTTTTTGCCATTGGCTTCGTGCTATTTGGCCTGCTGACTGGTAACGCAGCTACGTTGGAACTCTTCACGAAATCAACTCGGACGAGTCTACGGTATCACTGGAGAATGTTCGTTCCTTTGGCACCGAGGGGCGAAGGGGCAGACCCGAGGAGGAGATTTCCCCGTCTGATCAAGTGTATGAGTACATTGTGTTTCGTGGCAGTGATGTGAAGGACCTGCGAATCGAAGAACATCCTGCTATCAAGGAGACAAAACCCCCCGCCATGCCAGACGACCCAGCCATTGTTGGAGTAAGTACCAATATATCGCACCAAGATCTATTCTTTGTCCATTATGATGAAATATTTGCGGATGTAAAAATTTGTCACGTCGGAAAGCGCAAATCAAACAATGTCGATATTTCCGTTGCCTTCCTTCTGATTTTGGAACAACTTGTTTGACTTTTATTCTAGCTCGTCTTCATTGTTTCACGAAGCTAACGAATACAATTAGGCTCGAACCAGAGACGTTCAACAACCGCAATCATCAAGCGGAGGTTTCCAACCTCCCTATCCACCCCAAAATGGCCCCTATGGCGGACCATTACCACACTACTCTTGGGGTCGTGGTGGCGGCCCTGGCCCTATGCCAGGTCCCGGGTTCGCTGGAGTACCTTACCCTCCTCCTCCGGGATGGTTACCGCCTGGTCAAGGATACCCCTCGGGCCCAGGACCCTGGAGCAACCCTCAGTTTCCTAGTGGCCCTGGCGGGCCTACAGGACCAGATGTAGCTCAAAGAGGGCCGCCGTCGGTTCCGTCACAGGATGCCAAATCAGGCTCTGGTGGAGATCAAGCGAAAACATCTACTCCCGTACTCGCCGAACCAAAATCTCTTGCCCAAGCTGGGCGGCAGACTCTCAATGGGCCGAATCTGCCTGTAGATTCCAAGCCCTCAGTTGAGGAAGTCAAGGCTGTTGCTACGAACCTAAGTAATGGGCCCACACCCAATAAGAGCAAGGCATCTACACGGCCTACGCCTGCGGTTCCCCTCATGGGCAATGCACCCAAGCCCTTTCAACTTCCCAATACTGGGAAGCCAGCTCCTCCTGCCAGCGTGAGGGCTCCCCCAACCTCGGCACCACCAAGTGTTGAAGACGCCACTAGTGCCGCTCGGGCTGCCGTTGCCGTTGCCATGGCCCAGCTAGGCAATAGTGGAAGTACTGCCATGGATAACCTGACAAACAAGGTCAACGAGATGCGTGTTCACGCCAACAGAGGAGCGTCTGGCGGCCGCGGTCGTGGACGAGGTGGCCGACAGGGATTTGCGAAGGTTGAGGTCCCTGACTCCGACTTTGATTTTGCTCAGTCAAATGCCAAGTTCAACAAGGAAGACATTGTCAAGGAAGCCATCGCCAGTGGTGATGTAGTCGAATCTATAAGCGAGCCTGTCATCAAAGAAACTGAAACCCATCCCGGCAGCAGTGATACCACTGGCTCGTATAACAAGTCCAGATCATTCTTCGACAATATCTCCAGCGAATCTAGAGAGAGGGCCGAAAACGGCGGTCAGAAACCTGGTGGACGAGAGTGGCGAGGAGAAGAACAGCGCAAGAATATGGAAACCTTTGGACAAGGTAGCGTTGACGGTGGATATCGCAACTACCGTGGACGCGGACGAGGCCGCGGAGGCCGTGGCAGAGGAGGCTTCGGCCGAGGCGGACGTGGTGGTAACCGCCCACAGTATTCGGCGACTGTCGCCGATCATCAATGACGAAGCAGAGCGGCGGCACTTGTTACCGATTGCATTTCAACAACAATTGGGCCATTGATAACCTACCGTCGATTATTTACGACACCAACACTCTACAATCCAGGGAAGCGTTATTGACGCTCTTTGCGATGAACAACAGCACGTACTTTCCTTTTGCGTGCTCATTACTGCCTCGCTTTGTTCTTGTTATCTCGTAATGGTGTAACAACATATTTTGGGGTATCAGGCGCTCAGTGGCTCAAGCGACTAGGTGTAGTCGCGCACGTGTTACTTTTTCTCCGCGGTTGTGGGACGATACGAAAGGAATGATTTTCATCGCGGAAGGTCAAAGACACAATGGGAGTTTGGATTTACGCAATGGGCGAGGGGGCGGATATAACGCGAAACATGACGCACGCCGGCATGGCTGGAAAGACGAATATTTACTTTTCATTTCAGATACTCTCCACGGAGCGGAATTGCAGGCCAACATCTTGAATGTTGTTGAAGCCGATGGTATAACAAACCGGTCCGTGACGTGCAAAATGGAGGGAAAGGGCTCGATGCAATATAGTGCTGGGCCTCGGGTCGCGGGAAGGATTGGCTACCACTAGAGAAACATTATGATGTTATTCAGCTCGAGTTGTGCGTGTAAGATGAAGCCTCTTTTGATGTGGATGTGATTTGAGCCGGACAATGCCAATGTCATGTCTTGGGTATGGTTGCAATGAAAGTAGATGCACAAGAGTACGGAGTAACATGGCATGAGTCGTTGCAGCGAGTTATTGGGGAACGAGCGTGCATGATTATGTCGGGATCAGTTGATGGTTGCTTGGTCGTCTCGAGTCCCGAGTCCCGAGTCCCGACTCCTGAACGTGGTGGTTGTTGCTGCAGGCTCTTGCAGCAGCAGCGGAAGGAGCGCTCTGGAGTTTTCCGACCCCACCAGACGTCACGTCATGCAGTTCGGCGTGACCCAAACAAAATTCCTCCCCAAGGCAACGCCACGCATAATTGGTGCATCAGTCAATGGGCGGGATATCACCAACTTGACTGCCTTTCGCGTATGCTACTGTTTTTTCTTCCCCCTGCTTGGCATCCCGTTGAGGTGGTGTGTGCATGCAATCAGTTTATCGACCTCGGATCTACCTTGTTTCGTGGCCGATATCCATCTCCCGACAATCTTGCCAAAACGATCCGAGAGACAGGTACGCCTGCGCCGCGACATGTCGAGCAGACAGCTACGCAGGCTCCAGCAACAAAAGCAGCTCGAGAGAGCTCAGCAAAGTTCCGAAGGGAACTGTGAGGCGGGCGAAGATGTCGATGAGCCTGCCGAAGCAGCGCCCAAGCCGCGCCCAAACTTGTTCGCGGCTCTGGGGAGCGAGCAGACCGAGCACGACGATGACGGTGACGATGACGACGACGATGAAGACAACGGCGTGCCCTTGACGGAGCCGTTGCCCACGGCCGAACCAGCGCCCAGCGCCGCGAAAAGGAGCAAGAAGAAGAAGAAGAAGAAGAAGAAGACCGGGAAGACCAAGCCTGCCGGCACGAACCAGGAAGCTAATAAAAACGCCAAAGAGGACGAGCACGAAGACGAAGACGAGATTGACAAGGCCATCAAGCAGCTCAAGCTTGGCGCTGCGAATACCAATCCTGGCTCTGGGAAAGACGAGCCGGCCAGCGCAAGCATGGAGCCGCGGAAACGAATGAACGGGCTGTTGTCCGTCAATCCGCACCGTCTGAGAGCCGTCAACGAAATGCGCAACCTGTTCGGCCGCGACGTTATAGAGTCCGCCATCGCGGAGGAGCAGCAGGAGCAGCAGAGGAGCAGAAGGCGGCAGCAAACGCCTCGTGAAGTTGATTTGGAGACGTATCTGCGAGAGCCCCCTGGAGCCAAGAAGTTGCCGGAAATATCGCTACGACGGAATGTATTTGTGCAGGGCAAAGATCACTGGCCGCGACAGTCTGCAGGCGGATTGAACATGAAGGCGATTGGCAAGTCGGACGATGGATTGTCGACTGAATATGCCTATTTTTACGATGAGAATTACGATTCTTTGCAGCATGTTTTCTGGGCAATTGTGCAAATGGGAGATCCAATGCGCATGGTGCATTTTCTCAAGGAAGCTCGTAAGTACAAGCCCCTCATGTCACGCCTTTTCCTTTTTTTCCTTCTCCGGTCCTCTCCCGGTGTGTGTTTAGAGCAAAGGCTGACACGAGTGGGATTCTCGTGCAGCGTATCACGTTTCGACATTACTGCAAGTCAGCAACGTGGCAAAGCAGGATCAAAACATGGCGTTGGCGGCGGAGCTGTGCGAACGAGCGCTCTTCACCTTTGGAAGAGTGACCACGTCTGCGTTTCGCCAAGACATGGAGCACGGCCGTGCTCGTTTCGACTTTGGACGGCCAGAGAATCGTCAGTTTTGGCTTGCTGGGTTTCAGTACGTGCGGAGCTTGATACGAAAAGGGACGTTTCGAACAGCTCTAGAATGGGCCAAGCTGCTGTATTCTTTGGATCCACAGGATCCATACGCAATGAGACACTATATTCACTTGCTGGCTCTGCGCGCCTACGACCCGGAGTGGCTGATTGAGTTCACGGAGCAGATGGCCCTCGCTGCAAACCACGCCGACATTGTCTATCTGCGACAAAGTCTCGTGCTTGCCAAGCTCCAGATGGACGACGAACCGGGGGCGCGGGAAATCCTCCAACACGGGATCAAGACGGTACCCTGGCTGTATTGCGCCCTGTTCCAGGAGCTGAATCTCGACGCGCCGCCCTCCATATGGGGCATCAAGGCACAATCGCATTCTCAAAAGTTCTGGGTGACACTGTACATTCACCAGACCAAGGATCTGTGGAACAATGCCCAGGCTACGGCGTTGTTGCGACAAGTAGCCAAGGACTTGGGCAGAGTGGACGTGGCGTCGCTTCCTTTGCAAGATGCCGTTGTCGATCGTGGCGTGACGAGATTAGCGTACCTCGAGGGCCACACGGCATTGCTTGCCGTGGCGCCGAGGCGTTTTTTGGATGCGCAACCTAATTACGAATTCGATCCGTTGCCGCCACCGTGGGAGCAGAATATTTTCACGGCGCAAAGCACACGACTACCTTGGGGACGGGAAAGGGGCCGTCATCAAGGGGAGGAGGCGGAGGAAGAGGGCCAAGGCCATCTTGCGGATCTGGTGGCTCGGATGCACAATCTCGTTGCGCGGCAGGGCGTGGCGCCGGGCGTTGAAGAGGCAGTCGCACGACGAGTAGGAATGATGGGCGTTCTGAACAATGCCGCGGATGGCGACGACGACGACGACGACGACGATGAAGTCAGAGCACTCAGGGCGGCAGACGACGAGGAGTTGCAGAGGGATATCGAGGCGCACATGAATTGGGGCAACGGACAGGGTGTTTTGGGCACGTTGATGCAGATGCTGGGCGTAGGTCGGCGGGCTCATGACGAGGGAGGCGACGAGGAGGACGAGGGTCATGAGGAAGCACCTCTCGGCCAGGAGTGGGAGGAGGGTGGTCGGTAGAAGACAACTCCCAGCCGGGACGCTGGGACGCCGGGATGCTGGGATGCTCGGCTGGGAGGGATCATGGCCCCGTGCCCGTGCCCGTGCCTGTGTCTGCAGGATGAAACAACGCTCGAGTTGGACAGGTTGGAAAGCCACAGCAGAGCAGAGCAGAGCAGAGCAGAGCAAGGGTCTCCTCTACCCTGCTGGGCACCGTCCTCGGTACGTAACGACAACAATCTACCAACATGGCACGACCCACCGTCGCACCGCAGCCCCAACGACGCAGAGCAGGGCAAAAAGCTGATGTTGCAACTCGCGGAACGAGAAGACGTCCTCTGGCTCGGGGTCCCGATGCCCAGCGCGCTGCCAGCCAGCCAGCCAGCCAGCCGGCCAGCGGCACATGCATACATCCCTTGCCCTTGTGGCCGGGCGAAAACGTCAGTTCGGATTCTCGCCGACGCGTCGACGGATCCCCCGCAGCCCGCATCGGAGCTGCCAGGAGTCCAGGAGTCCAGGACCACAGGGAAAATTCGGCGCAGAGTCAATAAGTAGAGAGCCAGCACCCACGGCCACTGGCCAGATGCTGCTCCAAGCTCGCGGGCAAGGAAGGGTGCGTCACGAATGGGGACGGGACACTGCGTGACTGGTGACTGGGAGACTCGGACACATCCGGTGGAGGGAACGTGACTGCTCTGTTCGCACGGCGCGGCACAGCAGCTCTGGCCGGGCACAAGACGGGCGGTGAGCCCGGCTGATCCCGGCCGCGGCGGTGGCAAACTGTCCTACTCGGTACTCCCGTGCCCATGGGCCGTGGCGAATCCACGATATTGATGGCGTCTGTCGCGCCGGCAGAAAAAGGCAAAAGGGTCGCGAGTGCTTTGGCCGCCCCCCCCCCCCCCTTTGATCTTGGGTGATTGGTCCATTCGTCCGTTGGTCCAGCGTCGTGCTTGCTCCGAGACATTGTGGGCTAATTTGTGCGGTTTTATTTCTTTGCACTCTGCCCTACTTTTGCGTTGAATGAATCTTGATTTGCGCCGTTTCGTTGACATGATTTACTATAAATAAAACGAGTATATTATATAATACATGTACGTATATATAAACGCGGGCATCCAGCCTATTTGTTTCTCGTTCCCCTGCACGACCGACCGACATAGTCCGCGGCGAGGGGCAAGTTGGCCACGGCCACCAAGACGAGCGAGCGGCAAGCAGGCGGTCTAAATATAGCAGCTGAGACGGAGGAGACGGAGGCTCCAGCGGAGACGGCTCCATGTAGTACTAGTAGTAGTACTCTGTATCAGGATAACACACGTACAGTGCATGCCCCTCTCGAGCTGTGTTGTTCATGGTTCTCTCTGTGAGCAGCAGAAGTGGCTCGCAGTGGCCGTTGGCCGCCGGGCAGGCATTCTGCGCGGCGCTGCGCTGTGCGTCGGCGTCTGCTCAGTCACGTCACGTCGCACCATCTAGCTGCCTTTTGGCTGCGGCTTGACCCGCAGAGCAGCGAGCGGAGCAGAGCAGAGCAGAGCAGAGCAGAGCAGAGCAGAGCAGAGATGCCGGCTTCGGGTCAGTCTCGGTCGAGGTGGTGCCGTCAGCGGCGCGGGTGCGTGGTTAGCTGGCAGCACTCGCGCTTGGGGTCGAGACATGACGGCGAGGGCGGGCGGGCGGCAACGCGGGTTGCAGCAACAGGGTCGCTTTACATTGCGCAACCATGTAACCGGTACTCCGTGCCGTGTCTGCCACACAAACGGCCAACTTGCATATGGAGACATGGCATTCTTCCCTCCCTCGCTCACGGCCGAGTCGGGCGAGACGAGACGAGACGAGACGAGACAGACGAGACGAGACGAGACTGGCGCGGGGCGGGCTTCAGACACAGCACCAGGCTTGTCGTGGCTGTTGTCAAAGTTGCGCGGCATCCCTGAAATTGTTTCATCGAGATACAGAGTACGGAGTACAGATACTGCATCCACTCCGGTTCTGGCCTGGACTCTTGAGGGGGGCGACAACGGCCGGCCTTGACTTGACAAGCTGCCCGTGTGCTACGGAGCACCGTACGGAGTGGTATGTGAGCGACAAAACAAATCTTGGACGTGGCTCGTGTAATATGACGGGCCATCAATGTGCCCCGTAGCAGTTGGCGTAGCCACGGCCAACTGCATACACCAAGTCGGCGGTGCCGAGGTCAAATTTCTCGCGTCTCGCCAGAGACCCGTGGTTCATATTATCAAATCACTGTGAGAAATCGCAGCTTTCTGCTGCGTGCGGCGCACAGCATTGGTGCATTCCCTGCGCATTTGGACGTTTGCCGCTGGCAGCAATCAGGTCGAGAACCGTGCCTGAGAGACGGCCAGCCACCAGACATGTCCACGATAGAGCTCTTGTCCCCTCTCGGCCCACACAAGCCGTGACTGGTCATTTTCCGAGCCCCAGGCACGGGACAGAATGCCTTGGGAGGATCGAGGGCGCTTCGTGTATGGAGTAGGCGAGCATAATGGTTGTGATATATGCCGTGCTTCAAGGTCTGCTGCGCCCTGGGGTCGAGCTCCAGCGGAGAGTTTAGACAGCAATGAGTCGTGCTCCCAAACCTCCGCGTCACCTGGTGACCTCTGGCACTTATTCCTCAAGAAATGTACCCCTGCGACGCGACGGGACGCCGTCACAATTGTTGACCTTGTCTTACGGCAACTTCGGCAACTCCCCGTAGTGAAAAACTTTCACCTGGGTGGAGGACCTTCTTTGGCGACGACAACAGTGCTGGCCGTGAGCACTCCCTACTCAGACAGCAACAGGAAGCCATCCGACTGGGTCTGCTGCTTGTAGTATTAGTACTGTGGACTCCGCCGCCGTCCTGATGGCAACATCGGTTGCTATGCCTTCGTTAGGCGGTCATCAGTTCATGTAAGCTTCCGGTGAGGCCCTGCAATAAGGACGTAAGGACAGGGAACATGTGCCCACGAAGGAGCGGAAAACTGTGCACCAATGGCGGAAAGCTTGTTTTGTTGATCAGTGGTCCGCGGTGCGCATTAACTACAATACAAGCACTCCTTCACTCCCCCGCACCGGCAAGACGTCGGCCTCGAAGGACATGGAATTCGACTCGGTCCGTATTCGACTTCGATATCGACCGCGAGGAATGCCAGAAGCAGGCCGCGCGTCGAGCTGATTAGCCAGGGTATGCGCCGTGCACTCTGACCACTGCCATCTCCAATACAGATTCGAAGGATGAGCCTGACATGAGGATGAAAACCAAGTTCGTCAGAAGTACCCTGCGGCTCGCGTCCCCTTGGCCGTGTTGGCAGCTCCTTCACCTCGCATCCATCCATCCCATGCAGGATTCCTCGACAGCCTGGGGGCCATGAGGCGGCCGGGTTTGCCTGGTTCAATGTTGTCCATTCTAGTGGCTGTGCCGGGGGCCGTGATGGAGTCCCCCGACAAGGGGGGGGTTTCCCATGGGGCTCAGACCTGATCACGATAGTACACCTCGAATGAGTCGTACCGACGGACGGGACGGGCACGAGGGGCGGCAGGATTTGACCACTGAATGCCTGTGAAAGTTGACATATCACTGGTACCCTTGTCAGCAAGCGCGCGAGAGCCGACCGACTGCCTGCTCGCCTTGGCCCGGTTGTTTAGACTCGGGGTACTTTTGAGATTCGGAAGACATGGAGCGGTCTGGTTGGTATTCACATCGGAGCATTCTTGTGGATGTACTAGTACTCCGTATGGAATTAGTTACTCCGCACATCTGACGCGCTACGTACTCCGTGAGTATCTAGGCATTTGCCCACCCTTATGTAATACCAAAGGCGTCGAGCGAGTCGAGGGGTTGGGCAACTCCTAGATGCTTATCAAGGCACCTTGAAATCAAGACGTCGTACCAAACAAGCACGAAGAGTGCCTTCCCAGCCTTGTGTTGCTGGTTCCACAAAAAACTCGACAAGACTCGCCATTAGCCCGACTCCGTAGTGGTGGCTTTCTGCATCTTCAAACAGGGGTGAGTCCCCGACCGATTCGGCCGAGGCGGCGAGGTAGGCAGCGCCATGCTACGGCTAATTTGAGTTGCTCAGTGCAGGTGGTTTGCCGATGCGAAGACGATACGCCTCCGAAGAAAAGAAGGGCGCCCTCATTGCCGTAGATCCGCCAATCTGCACACCCTCTGGAGTTGAAAAGAAACACCAATCTCCTCTCGGCTGCATGAGCTGGAGATACGGCACCACGTGTGCTCCGGCTTGGAATGGCGCTTGAAATGCATTTTGGGAACACCAAAAACTCAGCTTATCAGCTTTAGCGGCGACCTGCCCGGGGTCCGGCTCATCAAGCTCGCCGTTGGCAGCAGCCTTTCGCGTATGTAGTCCCCTGCACACGTTGAATCTGTGTGTGCGCGCGCGCGCGTGTATGTGGCCCATTTCAGAAAATGGATGTCTCGATTCTGCGCGCAGACCTTCATCAAGATGGTGTTTGTCTGTGAGGAACCAATGACTTTGACAGTGAAAACTTGAGACCGTGTGCGGTCTATCAGGGCGTCGTTCATCCATCCATACCAAGATGCGCAGTTCATCAAGGTATCGTATGTATCGTATCGCACAAACCCGTTCCGTGATTTGGAGGGCTTTCGCTCGCCCGTAGCTTGCTACCAGCACCACCCACCTGCGTCAGACTTGATTCCATTTGTAGGGGGCGACGGTGGCCATACCAAACGAGAAACGAGCACGAGACGTCCCCGAGACACCGACTCGATAGCTTGCTAGAAGTATGTGTGTACGTGAGTGCCCTGACGCCCGTCAGGCCAACTTCATCGTCACTTTGGCGTCGGGGCAACGCCCCCCAAAGAACAAAGGCCGGATCCTCGTTCTCCAATCTCCATTCTTTCGGCCGTTCATCAGCAGCTGGTTGGTACCCACACGCCGCCCACCACGATACTCCAGTAAGTAGGCTACCCCGAAGAGACCAGAGGCCCAGAGCCCTCCATCGCGGGCAATGCGTGCTCGGTACAATTGTAGCAAGGGCCAACAGGGTTGATGGAGTGGATAGCAAGAGGCGATACAACGTGCAACGGAGTAGGGCGAACATGGCCTGGCATGTTTGATGTGATTGACCTTTGGTGTGCGTGTGTGACCCCTTTGCACGGTGAGCGGAGTAGCCTTCCGGCTCGTTATCATGTAGTAGTTACTCACGTATGGAGTACCTGGCCTGGGTACGGAGTAGCTCACTGGACGCTTTGCCCCAGTATTTTGGACCGGACCGGACTTGGCAAGTGCGAAGCAGAGACCGCAGCAGCGACGCAGTTGCCGTGCACGCACAGCACACAAGCGTCGTACCTTCCTTGCTTCCCCAGCGACCCGTCGGCTCGTCCATCGACTCTAGGACGACTCCAGCGCGTTTAGTACAGACATGACTCTCAACTCCCTGGACCTTGGGTCCTTGGCGCGCTCCCCCCCACCTCCCCTTCCCCCCCCGTTTCCCTTAAGCCACATCCATCAGAAGCCCACTTTTCACTTTCCCTGCTTGGGAATTGCTTCCGACAACCTGCAGCCGCAGCCTCATGACCGGGCTTTGTTCTGTTATTATCCATCCTCGGCCACCCTAGCCTTGACTTTATATCCTCTCCCCCCCTCATCTTCGTGCTGGTGAGTTTCCGGATGCATGTTGGCTGCCGTCTGCTGTGCGAGTGCTCAGTGCGTACATCACCATTATCGGCCGCTTGTGCTCTCTCGGCCGACAAGTTTTGGGCGCTGGCCGAAACATTCCACAAACGTCCTAATGTTGAGTTGTGCTTGTTTTCTCGGTCCTAGCTCGAGCCGCCTCAAACATCATCACTACCTAGGTAGTAGCTGACCCTGACGACGACAATTGCACCAGACCCGATTGAAGCTTTGTCTGGCCGTGGCTCTATCCAACCCACCGGAGGTGGTGTGGCCCCCTGACCAGCGCAGCAGACTTGGCGAGCCCCCAAGCCTTTCCAAGCCTGCTCGCCAGTTTCTTTTGCCGCGCTTCGAATCTTTCTCATACGAGTGCATGCCTGGCCTCTGTTCCTCGAGCACGGCAAGAGTCTACCATCATCTAAATTCCGCCAGGGTACGGGCCTTGTCCCGGTGAATTGACCAGGCTTTGGGCCAACCTGCGCAACGCCTCTCCCCCCATCGACGAAACGACAACACCCCACGAGCAGACCCGAGTGTTTTGTCGGCCATCGTGGGGACTTTGGTCTGCATCTCTCGTTGATCCCTCGGCGCCCGTCCTGTCCTACTTCTTCTTCTCCTTCTTCTTCTTCTTGTCCTCCATCCCTGGTCTTGCTTGCATCCCCAAGTACGACAACATCTGCCCAGATGACCATGACCGGTGTCTTGCCCTCACGACAACCGTGTCCGACACCTGCGAATTGACCTCATCCGGCTATGAGACCCCTGACCACGAATCCGACTCACTTTCGATTTTCTCATGAGAGAAGCATTTGCTTTCCCCAGGCGAAAATACCTTGACCAGGATGCATGCATTTCCGACACCGGCCGATGGCGTTGGGGCAGCATCTATAATTCACCAACCGCCGTCGGCGGGTTCCAACACCGGCTCATTCGACAATGTTTCATCACAAATGCGAACACCGCCGCAACAGCATGCCGTCCACACGCCTCCCCAGGGCATCAGCGCCCAGTCACTAGGGATAATACAGCAGCAGCAGCAATCGCAACCCCAGCAACAGTCTCACCAGCAGAGAAGTGTAAAGCGGCCAAGGCCAGTCAAGTCTTGCACTGAATGTCGAAAGCGTAAACTGCGATGCGATCGGCTCCTACCCTGCTCCCAGTGTCAGAAATCCGGTCGCATTTGCAAATATGCGGCCGACCACGACCCAGCTAACCTGTCCGACGCCTCCGACACTGAACCGGTAGATACGAATCGCCCAAATAAACGGAGCTGCCCTCCCGGCACAACCAATCCGAATAATGTTTCAGGCAATGACAATGCAACAACGCCCCTAAAGAATGGCGGATCACCCGGCATGCCGATGCTCGAAGAATTGACTTTGCGGATGGACCGGCTCGAGAGACATATGCAGGGCCGTAGCCCTGCCCCGACAGACACCAGCGGCGGCCGGATCTTGTATGCGGCTACCGACACTGTCAGAGGACTGTCAGTCAAACGAGGTGGTGCCGCGACCCGATTCTTCGGCCAACACAGCCCGCGGGTGATGCTCAATGTGGTAGGTGGCCTTCGTACTCCCCCCCTTGCAGACATTTTGCGTGGCTGAGGTGCACTTCGAATTACTAAACTTTGCCTCCTTCTCTTCTTAGTTCCCCGAGGCACGGGCATATTTGATGGGACACCATCAGAGTCATACTTCGGACGAGCTTCTTAGAAGCTTTGGTTTGTTACATAAACATCGGCAAGATGAGTTGCATCTCGCGATGAAACCAATCACGGTTTTTGTCGATTCCATGATGCCGGTGCAGAAACGTATGACCGATATCCTTCCCAAAAAAGATATATGTGATCAACTTGTCACCATGTATTTTGATACCTCCGAGTCGATTTACAGGATTCTCCACGCAAGAACCTTCTATGATGCATACAACGCGTACTGGGATGGTAAACTGCAGTCTGAGTCCTTCCTGCCACAGCTGCTCTGCGTTTTATCTGTTGCCTCTCGATTCGAAACAAAGTCGAGAGGAATGGGCCACGAACGCATTGAGGGGGTTCATATTCCGACGGCATGTGCTCTGGTGCAAAGCTGGCTCGATAATCTCAGAGGAAAGCAGCTCATCGATGTCAGTACTATACAGGTACAAATTTTGCTGATACATGCATCAAGAATGATCACGCCTCGGCTGCAAGACTCGTGGAACAAGCTTGGGTACGTCTTGAGGCTCGCGATGAGCATGGGTATGCATCGAGATCCCTCCGAGAGCGACCAGCGAATCCCAGTCTTCTGGGGAGAAATACGAAGGAGGCTGTGGTTTACTTTGGCAGACATGGATCTACACATGTCGATAGCCTGCAACATGCCTTCTCTTCTTCGTGACGGGGACTTCACCTGCAGGCCACCGCGAAATCTCAACGACGCCGAACTGTTTCCAGGGATGCAGGAACTCCCGCCTACACGGCCAATTGACCAGGTGACGGACAATCAAATGCAGGTATATGCCGCTATAACACTGGCAGCTCGCATGAGAGTGGCGCCGCTTGTCAATCGAATCGACTCCATCCGCGACTATTCAGAAGTCTTGGACATCGGAACAAAGTTGGAGCGATTTCTGGACGACATCAACCATTTATATCCACGACGAGGATCCTACAGCGCGGCGCAGAAAAGCAAGCAATGGAGAAGCCGCGTGATCCTCGATATGCATGTGAGGCGACCGCTTCTGGCACTTTACCGTCCCCTAGCACTTGGTGCGGCAGACGTGCCAGCGGAAATATCACGATCATTTTTGAAGTCGTCGGTGGTGATTTTGAATTATCTTGATGAGCTGGATCCAACGCATCCTCAATTCCAAGGTGTGGCGGAGATGTATCATCAAATTCTAAAGCCAGATATTATATACTGCTCGCTGAGTGTTTGTTACTACATTCAGTCTGCCGTCCGCCAGAATTCGGATTCACTAGTGTTTAACCAACATGGCGGGCCAAGCTTGTCGTCTGCTCATGGAGAAGACCTTTCACTTGCATCCGCAGAGACCGTTGTGCCGTGGTCACCCGTGCGCCTGGTATCCACGGTGCAGGAGAGTCTACAGCTGCTTATCAAGTTTATGGGTGGAGGCGACACCAAGGACGTATTGTGTCTTGCCACCATATTAGAAACCGTCAAGACTGGCGAACCCAATTTTCAAGAGATGACACGCAATCTCTATGCTGTACTTGACAGCTGTCTCAGATCTTCAAACATACCGCAGGAAAAGCTTCGGGCTTTTTCCGCGGAGCACTACGGCACAGACTCATACGTACACGGCCAAATGAACTATGGATACGCCAACAGTGTGGGCTCGGGAGGGCCGAGCAACAACAGTCTCGCGGGTTGGGTCCTATGGGATGGATGGGAGTGAGCAGAGAAGCTTTGGCTGTTGGACAAGAGAATCTCATTGAGCCAAATTCGTGAGCTGGCGGCATGGGGCGACTTATTATTGTTGCGGTACGAACACATTGTTGGTACTCGTGGGCGTTTATTTACCAAGGTATTTTGTGTTTTGGAAGCAGGGGGATCAGCGCATGGTTTTGAGTTTTGAGATGCGGAACAGCGAGTAAAGCCATTTGTGTGGATTCCCCCCTCCGGTTTACGACGCGCGGACTGGCCATGGCCAACCTGATGCATGGGTAGCTGGAGTGCGGTATCCGTTGGAGGCTGGTAGTTTCATGGCGTCCCATGGTGTTTGTCGGTTCAAAATACCAGTCGGGCGAGGAAGTAAGCGGGCGGCAAGCTCGGGCCTGGAAGCCATTAAAGCTTATATATCACTTCACACGACACATCAATACAAGACGGTACGCGTCAAGTCGAGCGGCTGGGAATGTCCGGGGTGTTTGCGTGGTCTCTGCCTATGCTTGGGCAGGCCTCGTGTCGAATCCTCATGGCCTAAACACGGAGAATGAGTAGCCTCGAACGGTGGCCGCGGGCGTTTGTCCGAGGGTCCGTCCCGATGTCATGTCCCCGCACGCAGCCTCCCGCACGCAGCCTCCCCCGCAGCCTCCCCCGCCTCTGGGAACTCCAAGCCTCGGCCTCTGGAGTCCCCAGTTGTCGCTTCTCGCCGCACATCCAATGACCTCGGCACTTGCGCGTTCCGCTTCGGGGGAAGGAACGCCGGGCGCTCCTGCCCCGATGCTTCGCCTCCGCTTGCCTGCTCAAAAATGCGCCAATCCCGCGCCAGGAGTCCAGGACCCTTCCTTCACTTCCAAGTTCCACATGCAAAGCCGTGACATCCAAGTCCCGCCGCATTTCTGATAAATAAGACCCCTGACATCCCTGACGTCGACTTCGACTTCGGCATCATCATTGCATTTCGTATTTCAGACTTCTCTCCCCTGCATCCGCCACGTCCTCGAGTCTCACTCAATACACGTCGGCGCCTCTCCGAGCCAATCAAGCTTGCCATCGTCGCTGGAACTCGGAGACGACTCGCGACTCTTGTTCACCAATATCTTATTTGCACATTCACAACACAAGGCAACCACTCAAAAAAATGCCTGCCAAGCAGAAGTCGCCCGTCTACGTCCTGGGCGTGGGCATGACCAAGTTCATCAAGCCCCGAGGCCTGGTCGACTACACGGAGCTGGGATTCGAGGCTGGTGTCAAGGCCCTTCTCGATGCACAGATCAACTACGACGACGTCGACCAAGGCGTCGCCTGCTACTGCTACGGCGACAGCACCTGCGGCCAGCGTGTCTTTTACCAGTTTGGCATGACCAAGATTCCCGTCTACAACGTCAACAACAACTGCTCCACGGGCAGCACCGGTCTGGCCATGGCTCGTACCTTTATCGCGAGTGGTGCCGCCAACTGCGTCATGGTCGTGGGATTCGAGAAGATGATGGCCGGCAGCTTGCAGAGCTTCTGGAACGACCGCGAGAACCCCATGGGCACCACTGTCAACATGATGGTGGAGACGCGAGGATTCGAGCCAGCTCCTGGCGCCGCGCAGATGTTCGGCAACGCTGGCCGTGAGTACATGGAGAAGTATGGTGCCAAGCCCGAGGATTTTGCCGAGATTGCTCGTGTCAACCACGCCCACTCTCCAAAGAATCCCTACTCGCAGTTCCAGCAGGTCTACACCCTCGAGCAGATTATGCAGGCCCCCAAGATCTTCGACCCCCTGACCAAGCTCCAGTGCTGCCCTACCTCTGACGGAGGTGCCGCTGCCATTCTTGTCTCCCAGGAGTTCCTTGATGCCCGTCCGCACCTCAAGGCTCAGGCCGTCGAGGTTGCTGGACAGTGTCTGGCCACTGATGCCCCCAGCCTGTTCTCCCGCAGCTCCATTGACCTGATGGGCTATGAGATGACCCAGCACGCTGTCAAGACCGCCATGGGCGAGGCCGGCATCACACCCCGAGACGTGCAGGTCGTCGAGCTGCACGACTGCTTCAGCGCCAATGAGATGGTTGTCATTGATGCCCTCGGCCTGAGTGAGAAGGGCAAGGCCCACGAGCTCGTCCGCCGCGGAGACATCACCTACGGCGGCAAGTACGTCATCAACCCATCTGGCGGTCTCATCTCCAAGGGCCACCCTCTAGGCGCCACCGGTATTGCGCAGTGTGCCGAGCTTGTCTGGCATCTGCGTGGATGGGCCAACAACCGTGCCACTCCCAATACCAAGTATTGCCTGCAGCACAACCTGGGTCTCGGTGGCGCCGTTGTCGTGACCGTCTATCGCCGTGCCGATGGCAAGGCTGCGCCCGAGTTGCAAGATGCGGCCATAGCCAAGTCCAACGGCCTCGGCTACAATCCAGCAGTCGAAGCCAAGGGCTTCACCAAGGAGCAGGCCGCTGCTGTCCGGAGCAAGAGCGCCTCGAGCGACTGGGCCCTGTCCGACACTGAGGAGAAGGTTCTCCGGGCTCAGCTGTAGACGGAGATGAAGAATAAAAACCACACACGCACGCACGCACGCACGCACACCAGATACATAGTAGCATGTTTTGGATGGGAGAAGAAGATGATGGATTTTCCTGGTTTTTTTTTTTCCCTCTCTTTTTTTTTTAGAAGAAAAGAAAAGGACAAACTATCTGAACGTGTGAATAATGCATGGAAGGAGTGCATTTCATTTGTTATGGATTGTACCAAAAGCAATTGTAGAGTATTGCTGACTTGGGGTGGCATCATGGCTTGAAATCTGGAGTGATGAGCGGTAAAGCGCACAGCCAAAGTCTGTACTTTTGTTCGAATATCAATCAAGATGAGCTTTTTTGAATCATGTCCCGAGCCTTGCGTGACTTGTTTGATTTGGCGTCTTCCCATCGGCGACTGGACGAAATAAAAGTGGGTGTGGCGTCGACGTTGTTTTTGATCAACAAAAACGTTGGTTATCCCTCCGCCCGGCTGCAACAACGTCGATGGCATCGCAACACAGAGCATGCCAATCTATTTCCCGTCCCCCATTACCTAGTCTGTAGTTCTTCTTCTTCTTCTTCTTCTTATTATTATTATTTTTCTTCTTCTCCCTCTTCTTCTTCTCCCTCTTCTTCTTCTACTCTACCCCAGCCGCATTGACGAGAGGGTTGGGGGAGGACGTCTGGACGCGGCCGCAGCAGCAGCACACGCAACCTCTTCCGCCTCGACTTCAACGCGTCTCAGGGGTCACAGACGACACGCCCGGGCTGCGGCACGGCACGGCACGGCACGGCACGGCACGATGGCGCGCGCGTCTTTCCACGCCTTCGCCCGCCTCCCCGCCGAGCTCCGGCATCAAGTATACATGGAGCACCTGCGTCCCCTGAACCCGCCCACCGTGTACCTGTACAGCAAGAACCTCGTGCTGCGGTACCTGGACCCGGAGGGCGAGGACGAGCGGTACGCGGGGATATCCCACGAGCCGCTCGTGCAGGTCAGGATACCGGCGCTGGCGCACGTCGACGCCGAGGCCCGCGGGGCGACCATGTCGTGGGCGCGCTCCGAGGGCATCTCGCTGCGGTTCCGGAGGGAAACCAACGGGCACGTGTTCTGCCGGCGCTGGGACCCGGCCCGCGACGCGCTCTACGTCTCCCGGGACAAGTGGGAGGAGTTTTGCGAGCTGCCGTGGGAGTCGGCGGGCGTGGAGGGCATGGCCTCCTCGGTGCGGCACCTGGCGCTGCCTGCCTTCACGGCCTACTACAGCTTCGGCGAGCTGGGGGGCTACCTGATGTCGTGGTTTACGGGGCTCGAGGTGCTCAGCTCGGTGTGGGGGGGGCTGCCCGACCTCGCGTACTCGCGGACCAGGACGGTTCCGGGGACGCGGAGGCGGACGGGGACGGGGACGGGGACGGACGACGACCGCACGGACACGGACACGGACACGGACACGGGCGTTGATCCCGTCACGGGCGACTGGGAGGAGCGTATTGCCGCCGAGGTCCAGCCCGTGTGGGAGCTGGTGAGGGAGACGGGCGACGTTGTCGACATGTGCGTCAAGGACCCGTTGGACGGGACCGAGAGCTTGGAGAGGGGCGAGCTGGGCGTTTGGATGGACGAGCTGACGGATGCGTTTTTGACGGTCGAGCTGCCGGACCATGTGTATGATGTGGAAGAGGAGAAGTTTCTGGTTGAGTTTCGGCCGGTCAGGGCGGTCAGGGGCTAAGTTTGGAGTTTGGGATGAAGGCCTTTTTTTTTTTTTTTTTTCTGGTTTGGCCCTTTCCCCCTCGTCTTCTCCCTGCATTTTGTACCCTTTCTTTCTTTCCTTCCTTTGTTTTTTTTATTTTTTGTTTAATCAGGCAGCCACTGGACGGATAACAAGGGCCGTGGAAAAGACCCCGGCCAAGCGATGGGTGTCAAAGAAGGAGGGGGGCGCGCACGGCAACGGGGATGTTTTGCATACATGTATGCGCAGGTTTGAGCTCATATCCAAGGCGGCGCAAGCAACCGGCCCGATGACACAAACGCCTTTGCCCGTTTCAGGTTCTCCGGGCCAGACGAAGCGAGGCGTCGCGAGACGGCTGAGCATCGTCAATCTTGTCAGCAGTCCGGCGGTCCGAAATATACCCGACGCGGTGACGCAAGTGGGTGCACCCTGGGCACGAAGGGCCAATTTATTATTAATGCGCTGTTTGTGCCGCCTTGACACCGTTCCGTTCCATTCCATCCATCCCTTTGTGCGTAAAGTATTGAAAAGCAGCTCGTTGCTCCTGCCTTGCTGCAGTGAGCCGGACGACACCGACGCGCCGACCAAAGACTTCCCCCTTTTCCGCCGAGCCAAGTGGGAAAATTAAAGAAGGCAACAGAAAAGAAGAAGCCGTTCGCCCGTTCAACGCTTTTTTTCTCGTCAACTTGATCCTCGGGCCTGCCCAACATCGCCCACCGCCATGTCTAACCTGCACACGTACGAATTCAACGTGGCCATGAGCTGCGGCGGCTGCTCCGGAGCTATTGACCGTGTTCTGAAGAAGCTGGACGGTACGTACGACGTCTGTGTCGAGGCCGAGGCGTCGACGGCATCGCCCCTTTTCTTTTTCTACCTTTTCTTCTTTTTGCGGCTCGGGTCACTGACGGCGGGCACGTAGGTGTCGAAAGCTACGAAGTCTCGCTCGAGAACCAGACTGCCAAGGTGGTCACCGCGCTGCCCTACGAGACCGTCCTGACCAAGATTGCGAAGACGGGCAAGACGGTCAAGTCGGCTACGGCTGACGGCGTTGAGCAGTCGGTTGATGTCCCTGCTGCTGCTGCTGCCTAGCTTATGTCCCCGTTTGTGGAAAGGTTGCTATGCTAGGCTTTGCCGCCGGGAGGGAGTGGGTTCTTTTGTCTCTTGTGTGTTTCCCGACATGGCGGGCTGGGGTGGGTTTGGGCGCAACGGGGATGACGGGAGGATTGCTGCATTCTCGATGACATGTTCAGGGAAGCGTGCGTCGGATTCGAGGCTGATCGGGAGGGGTTTGAATTGACAATTTGGCAATGTGCACTGTGTCGTCGGACTGTGACGCGAGGAGATGTGGTGATGCTCTGGAGCAGACGGGGATGCGGGCTGCCCTGGGGCGCATGCGGCCGAGATGTTCGACGGACTGACGCAACTGGGTTGGCGCTGGGCACGATGCCCTTTCGGCGAGGGGACATTTATTACTGCGGTCGTACGGAGGGAGCACGGCATAGCACAGCCCAGCACAGCCTTTTGAGAAGGTGGGGTGGTTTGGTCGGGACGAGCCGGGCATCGTCTCGTCGGAGCTCTTCCTTGCTTGCTTGCCTTTGCCTCTCATCGTCTCGCTCTCCTTCCAACCGCCCAAATCGCGCTGCTGCATCGGCCAACTTCCGCTTCAGGGCCTCGACTCTTCAACCTCGTCCCTCGCTCACATCCCAAACGCTCTTCCGACCCTGGCACCGTCTTACATCGTCATGACACGAAAATCCACAGCATCTTGCGTGGCGTTTTTAGTCGGTGACATGCAGGGTCGGCATTTCCCGCGCCGTCGTCCAAGGCAGCCCCATCTGCAGGCCCTCGCGTGCGATTCACGGCAGCTTTTCTCCACAGTCGGATGCTGCGTCATCGAGGGACGGGCGGGATGGAGTAGAGTGCGTGTCGAGTATATGAATTGGCATTTGCGTCTTTCGCTTTGCTCCTCTTCCTGTTCTGCAACTGCCAATTCCGCTTCCCTCGGGCATCACGCTACCCGTGTCAGCTGCCCGAGTATATGAATCGGCATTTGCGTCTTTCGCTTTCCTCCTCTTCCTGTTCTGCAATTGCCAGTTCCGCTTCCCTCGGGCATCACGCTACCCGTGTCAGCTGCAACAAGGACTTGTTCTTGGCTACGCCTTGGAACCCGGCAGTGCACAGAGCCACGCTACGCCGCCTCTTTCTTCCCCGGCTACCGAGTTGGCGCGAGCTCAACACCCCCCGGAAATGACAGTCTCCAAGATCCCCACGGAGCAGTGGGCGGCGGTGGTGGAAAAGACGGGAGGACGTACGAGTCGTCCCTTGCCCCCTGAACCACAGCGCTCAAGATTCAGACGCCCTCTAGCTAACGCGACTCGTAGCTGTCGTGTACAAGCAGATCCCCGTCCGGCAGCCCGGCCCGGATGAGGTGCTCATCAACGTCAAGTTCTCGGGGGTCTGTCACACCGATCTCCACGCCATGATGGGCGACTGGCCGCTGGCCGCCAAGCTGCCCCTCGTGGGAGGCCACGAGGGCGCGGGAGTCGTGGTCGCGCGAGGCGAGCTCGTCAGGGACGTCGAGATCGGCGACCACGCCGGCATCAAATGGCTCAACGGGTCGTGCCTCAACTGCTCCCACTGCAACGTTGCCGACGAGCCGCTCTGCAGCAAGGCCCTGCTGTCCGGGTACACCGTCGACGGCTCGTTCCAGCAATACGCCGTTGCCAAGGCCGCCCACGTCGCTCGCATCCCCAAGGAGTGCGACCTCGAGGCGATTTCTCCCATCCTGTGCGCCGGCATCACCGTGTACAAGGGCCTCAGGGAGTCGGGTGCCACGCCGGGCCAGTCTGTTGCCATTGTCGGCGCGGGCGGCGGCCTGGGCAGCCTGGCCTGCCAGTACGCCAAAGCCATGGGCCTCCGCGTCGTTGCCGTCGATGCCGGCCGTGAGAAGAGAGACATGTGTCTGAGGCTCGGTGCTGACGTGTTTGTTGACTTTGCCACCGCCGAGGACCTCGTTGCAGACGTCAAGGCCGCTAGTGCTGACGGCCTGGGCCCTCATGCTGTCCTGCTCGTTGCCGTTGCCGAGGAGCCCTTCCAACAGGCTACTCGGTACGTGCGGTCCCGGGGCGTCGTCGTCTGCGTCGGCTTGCCGACCAATGCCAAGCTCTCTGCGCCCGTCCTTGATGTGGTCATTCGCATGATAACCATCAAGGGCAGCTACGTTGGCAACCGAGCCGACACGGCCGAGGCCATTGAATTTTACCGCCGGGGCCTCATCCACACTCCCTTCAAGACCGTGGGTCTCAGCCAGCTGCAAGACGTCTATGAGTTGATGAAGGCGGGAAGGATCGCCGGACGCTATGTTGTAGACACGAGTAGATAATGGGCGGGTATCATCTACCAAGCTGTTCAATTGACGAGTTGTTCTCAAGCCATGTCGCCAGTGTTGCAATTCCAGAGTCGGACCGCTTCGGGCAACAATGATGTACCAGACGAACGATGGACCAAAGTCATTAAATAATATTTTGTTGTATTTTTCAACTCAACCCACCGTTTTGCTTGTTGATGCCCATTGGCTGCGCCCTCTGCACTACGTCCACCAATCGTCGCCTGCCCGTGGCGTCTTGCCCTCTTGTCCCTGAGAATCAGATGAAGACATCTCGAACTGCTCCGTCAAATATGGAACAAACAACATTTATGAGCCGCCAGGTCCTCCCAACAAGGCAAATCTCCGCACAATGCTTGGGCCGTATTCTTGATACTGCACGGTCCAGTTAGCTCTGCGGCTTTGTTGAAGATCAAAGGTTGGCGCTCGACGTACCTCTGCCTTTGTGTGGCAGTATGATCGGAATTCTGGAGTTTGCCCGAGCAGGCTACCACCGAACCACGGCCCATGTCGTTGTCTCTTGTGACTTATAACCTGAACCTCGAGTCCACCGCTTCGGGCTCCTCCGCTGCGAACCTCACTGGCTCGAATCCTAGCATCGACGAGATGCTTGATGTCTCTCTGCAGCCGTCTGCCAAAGTCCTTATAGAGGGTGCTTCCGCCTGACAGCACAATGTTCTTGTATAGGCCTCGTCGCACGTCGATGGGCGATTGCTGAATGACTCCGTCAACAACGACCGGCAAAGGCGTAAGGAAGTCGGAGCTGTAAATTTCCGGATTGAAAAATATTTCGGGGGCAAGGAAGCGCTCGTATCCGACATCAACGCTGACCTGACGGCCACCAGGATGGGTGACAACATGCTTGGCAAATCGTTCTCGGTCACGATCGTACTTTGAGAACTCCTTGACGATATCCGGGCACACATAACAGTATTCCTCCTTGATATCTTGTGCGGTCTTGAGCGAGGAGTCTGGTTCGCCGCGATCTCGGAGTAGCGACTGTACGAAGTACGTGATGTCTCGACCGGCAATGGGGATCGATTTGATGGACGATCCGATCACATAACCCTCGGCCACTGGGATGACGTGGGTGACACCATCACCCGAATCGATGACAGTGCCCGTCAAAGATCGGTCAGTAACCTTGGACGAGGTCCAAGAGGCGGCAAGGGCGAGCACGGCTTGCACTGCAATGTACATGCCCGCACAGTTGAAGGACTCGAAGAAAATTTCTGCCGTGTTCTCTCGGTTTTCCGGAGGATTCAGCGGCTGCTTCTGTTAGTAGCGCGTTTTGGAAATCTTTCAAGAATATAGCCGACTGGCGAGAGACTCACAGGCTCGGTCAGAAGAAAGTAATGGTCCTCGGGTTCTACTCGCAGGTACTTGAAGATTGAGTTTGACCAGAACCGTTCCATGTGATCCTAAGGGTCCGTCAGTTGGAAGTCTTTGTCGTAAAATAGGCCTACAAACCCAGTTTTCTATTTGGCCATGTCGAATAGGATAATGAAGACCGTATCCTGAGGTGTCTCGTTAGCGCGTCGTCGACTACTCTGTGCAAGACACGTACCAGGCCCCGAAGCGGCGCTTATTGCCTCGTCACCAATGTAAAAGTCAAGGTCCTCGGTTCCTCGCTTTGAGCTCAAGTTACTACTCGGGCCTGCGCCGCCTGTAAGGAACGAAGGCTTGTTCGCGACCGCTGGACGACCAGACCCGGAACCACCGCTGCCTCCGGTAGGGCCTTTCGTGGCGATGGCGGTAGGAAAAACGAAGGAAGGAGAATCATTTCCGGCGAACCCTGAATGTATGGCGTCAATCGGAGGAGTTGCTTCAAATGGATTGCGTGCATACCGAGCTTGGAAAAACCCGTGCCGCTGCGTTGCGTGGATTAGCATGCTGTCGTGCGTGTGTTTCTCGGCGAGCGGCGGGGAAGAAGGCGCTGGTTTGACTTACTTGTCCATGACAACGGCGGGGGTCTGATTCGCCATGACGAGGGAGTGCGGCAGCGGATGCGCGCAAAGGAGGATGCAGAGTGGCGGGAAGGACAAGCAACGAAGATGAGGTGAGGTGAGGCGAGGAGAGAGAAGACGGTGATGCCAAAGGAGCCCTTGGCTTGTCGTCACCTCGCCCGTCAGAGGTCCAAGTTGTGCAAGGTGGGGTGGATGGCGGCCATGGAGGCCCAGCCACAGCAAGTCGTTCCTGCTTTTTTATGAATGTACCGTCCCGAAGCACATTTGGCGGGGCGTAGTGCCAAGCGACGTCATTTTGAATAGCCGCGCATGTGGCGTGGCAACGAGGTGTAAGTTATGAAGTATCTACCTAGGTACTTAGGTAGTTACATGGGCTGATTTTGTGAAAGGGCCATGGTTGGCACGCTCAATGGCCGATTTTGTCTGGAAGGAAGCCGCCTTCTGTGCGTACAGTGGAAAATTCACACCCGACGGAGCGTGGCTAACACGTTCAAACACAAGCAAGCTAACATGGGTCTGGGTCTGTACTTTGTACGTCGCCTGCTTACATAAGCAAGTTACCATCAGACTCACCGCATACGGAGTACACAACGCTGACTGATGAAGCCATGCGACGGAGACACTCGCTCAGAGTCACATGTGCCCGAGAACCCAAACCCGCGACACAAGTGCAATCGCACAAACGATATTTGCACCAATCTGTCGTCATCTTAAACATCAAATATCAAATATCCACTCATTCAGTGCTGCTTTTTCCGACACGGTGGAGGCGTGAGTCAATGTCGGGCGGGAGCCCGTCGATCAAGCGTCTCCCAGTACCAACCCGACAACCCTACCTGACATCTGATCTGGAAGGGGCAAAGGAAAAAAAATAAATTGGATCAAAGAGAGAGAGAGAGAGAGAGACTTCGACTGTTGCCTCTGGACCTCTGGACTCCTGGACTTCTCATTAAAAACCGTTTCGCTTTGGCCCCTAGTAGCCTTCATGGCAACACCCAGCACGGCAAGCGAGCATTTCGTCCATACACCTAATTACATTTGACCATTTATTCCTTCCCCCTTGGAAGTTGCAACCCATCCTCGGATTCTCTCCGTTGGGAGACACGTTCATTCCATCTAGAAACAGTCACATCGGCTCATTGCGGTGTAATCTTCCTCTTCCTAAGGCTGCCGCTATCGGCTCCAAACGACTCTCTGAAATTGAATCCCGCTCCTCGGATGCTATTTATTACTTGGAGCTGGCTCAACTCGACTCAGACCTTCTCCCCCTTGATATTCCACCAGTACATGCAAAATATCTTCATCGGCATCCTTAGCACGTCTGGGATTGACGCAGTCGACCCCTGTTACTAATGACTCTCAACTAGAATGAACGCCCGTTGCCAACATGTGGACTATCCAGTGATGGCCGAAAACAACCATGGCACTGATGGTGCGTTGGATCGTATGCTTCGCCTTGGTCAACGACAGAAGGCCGTTCCAGCCATCTTCATCCATGCGGGCGCTGGTTTTCACAGCCATCAAAACGAACATGTCCATCTAGAAGCTTGCGTAGCGTATGTGAAACTGTCGTTTCCGTGCCCTCAGGTCTGACGCAAGCTTCTCTCATGTGGCTAACCTCCTCCAGGGCCGCCGAAATGGGTATGAAGTTTTTGAAAGCCGGCGCGGCTGCAACCGAGGCTGTCGAGGCTGCTCTACGAATCCTAGAGGATAGGGAAATCACCAATGCCGGCTATGGCTCGAACCTGTCCATCGACGGTACCGTCGAGTGTGACGCTACAATTGTTGACCACCTCGGCCGAAGCGGTGCTTGCGGCGCAGTTCCGAGTTAGTTGTTCCCTTTGTAGCAACTCGTGATTATACCACCCGAGCAACCTAACGCCTCTTCCCAGACATACGCAACCCCATCTCGCTTGCGAAACTTATTCTAGATACCAGTAGCCAGCCGCTCAGCCTTCGAAGAGTCCCGCCAAACGCACTCGTCGGTGAAGGGGCTCGCATTTTTGCCGAGGAACACGGCGTCGTCACCTTTGCGAATGAGTACCTTGTCTCCAAAAACTCCCGCGACCGCTTTTTTCGTTGGCAAGAAGATCTGCTGCGAGCAGAAGAAAGGATTCAGGATTCTCGCACGGGTGTACATTCTCCATCCGCTACAATGGCATGTGTTCCTTGCCAGTACGACACAGCTTCAGCTGCAGGCACCCGGAAACCATCTCCTCGCCAACATACGGTGGCGATTATGGCTGGCACGTGGAATGAGGGACAACCTGACTCGCCATACGCAGGTACTCCAGCTTCTGATCCTGCTAGCATGCAAGATGACTCCTTTTTCTCACCGCGGGCCAATGCATCTCTGCCTGCCCCAACTTCGAAATCGCCCCGGCCGTCACCGCGATCTCCCCTTTCTTCAGCCCCTATGGCTGACAGTAAAAGCGCCGGAGCCTCTCCGACACGCACCAGATATGTTGACAGGCGGCCCAACGTGGCCGTAGACAGCTCAAGTCCAACAGGGACTGTTTGCCGGAGTGCCCCAGAAATTTTGCGGTCAAACAATGGTTTCGCTCCGGACTCTACTTCGTGCTTACAACCAATGCAATGTGATGACGCGTCATCTATTTCAAGCGGAATGCAAGGCGTGAAACGATCCCTTGATGAAGAAAATCAACCTCGAGAGACTGACGGACCAGTAGCTAAGCGCCAAGTGCGGTTGAACAGCCGAGACGAGGACATGATCACGGACACTATTGGTGCTATTGCGATTGATGATCAAGGAAGGATAGCTGCTGGATCTTCTTCGGGGGGCATTGGAATGAAGCATCGAGGACGACTGGGACCTGCCGCCCTTGTCGGCATTGGCACAGCTGTAGTGCCATGTGCGGAAGACGACGAGGACGGAATAACTGTGGCAGCTGTAACAAGCGGAACTGGGGAGCATATGGCGACGACAATGGCATCTCAAAGATGCGCAGAAAGAATCTATACAGGGACACGACGAGCACCAGGTGGCGGAGATGTGCAAGACGATGATGAGGACGCAATTATGGAGTCATTCATCTCCAAAGACTTCATGGGCCACCCTGGTGTCAAAAATTGCAACTCTCAGGGAGCTATCGGTGTCATGGTGGTGAAGAAGAGCCGAACCGGATACTATCTCTACTTTGCACACAACACAGATTCGTTTGCTCTTGCATCCATGGGAGCGCTCGAGAAAGAGCCTCGTTGTACCATGTCTCGGCTTCCCGATGGCGCTAAGATTGCCAAAGGCGGCCGCAAAATACGAATATCTTGATGCAAAGCTGTGGTTTCTTCTCTGTGTACCTAGAACCGATCCATTCCTCTTGTGCTCCGGTTTTCGCCGTGGCAGAAGTCTCGTAAGCTGTGGTTTATGAAGCATGCTTAGCAGTATTGATACCCCTTTTGCACCTTCCTACAAACTTTAATGACTCAATATGAGATGGACGCTTTCTTGGGGAGTCAAACAAGTGATGTCTCTTTTTTAAAAAAAGAAAATTTACAAAAAGAAGAAGCCCGTAAAGCTCGAGTACTAAGCATGATATCATTATAGTGTAGTGTACATTTTCCCAACGCCGACGTGTGGAATGCAGCTGTGCCCGGGGGCCATGGCCAATTCTTCAGACACTCCCTCTTCCCGTTGTACTCTATGCAGCGCTTCCCCATTTAGTAACGAAACCAAAAATAGCCGCCTCTGAAGAGAGGCATCGAGATCCTCTTTGCGGCCATTGACCAGGTGGTAACGGAGTCTCTGACCGTATTACCGTATCCATCTATAGCGTCCGCCCATATTCGCCAAGTGACTGACTTGTTTAGGCCCAGCCCCCGACATCCCTCTATTTTGGTCTCTCTCTCTCTCTCTCTCTGTCCCCTTTCCATTTTTCACGTTTTCATTCTTTTATTACCTTAGAGGAGTACCGGTGGCGCTGCCAGTCTCCTCCCGCCCACTGCCACCATTCACGGTCCTCTTCTTCCTCTTCTTTTTACGAGGCACGACGGCCGGCTTGGCACCGTAGTTGCCCAGCGCCAACTTTGTCCCGCAGGTCAAGCACTCGGCGTTCTCGGGCGGCTCGCAGAATATGCTGAGACAGATGGAGCATACGAAGCCCCGGTCGACGACTCTTCCGTGGCAGAAACAAGCAGCTCGGAAGTCCACCGTGTCGTGGGTTGGAGTGACGAGCGACCGCCGGGCCTCCGTGTCTGCTATCAGGCCAAACATGAGGTAGGTGAGCAGGCCCTTGGGGTTTGCGGCGGCGAGAAAGGTGCCGCTGGTGTTGAAACAGGCCTGCTGCAGGAATGTAGGGTCGCCCGAGAGGGAGAGCGTGTCGATGGCTACCTGGGCGTGGGCGGCGGCGAACACGGCGTTCATGGTGGGTATGTACTGGGACGGTTCCGAGTCGGACACGGACAGGACCAAGATGCGGCCCTTGATGGGGGGTGCGGCGTCGGCACTTGGCCGGGCCAGCTCTGCTAAGCTACCGGATGCGCCGCTGAGTGCTTGGGAAGCCTTGTTTATGTGGCACAGCGCCAGGGTCAGGGCGCCGGATAGCTGCGTGGTGGTCGCCTCGAGATCTCGCTCCGTCGTTTGGGCCATGAGCTTGTGCATGGATCCGAGGACGGCGGTCTCGATCTGCGCAAACTGCGGGTATTTGTTGGCCGAGCTCCGCGGGGGGTCGGGGGGGACGTCGGACATTTGCACGTCGCCCGAGGCGTCTGCGGGCGGTGGTTGCGGAGGCGTTGGGTAGAGCCATACGGCGCGGTTCACGTGGGCGGCCACGACTGCGACTTGGTTGACGTTGCTGAATGCCAAGTGGGCATTGACGAAGACGAGGACGTTGGCGACGGCTTTTGATATGGGGAGGACGTCGTCGAGCGCTGCCCAGGCGCGGGGGTTGGTGTCTAGGACGATGGCGAGGAGGGATGGTGTTTCTTCGGCGGTGGTGACCTCGTAGTGCTCAGAGACGTCGACGGCATCCATGCTGGACGGGGAGGGGAGCGGTGCCGTCGAAGGCAGCTACGAGGCCAATTCTCGGGGTTGAAACTATGGGGGGAGGGTTGTCTGGTGAGCCGGCTGAGGTGTCTTGTCAGTTGTTGATGCCGTGACGGGGAGGAAGAGTTACGACGCGGGCGAGCGTGAAGCTTGGTCGAGGCGGAAGGTGGTTGCAGTGCGATGGCCGGGAGACAATCATGTTAGGAGCTCCTTCTCATATTCCCAATTTGTGTCGTTTGGACGGCCGCAACGGACGGAAATGGGAGGATTGCGAGCTGGCGTTGCGTGTAGTAGTTATTGCATACCCGCGGTTGGAAGGATCGTTGGCGTGTTCACAGTGTCAAAAATGATGGTGACAGGTCGTGAGCAGAGATCAGCAGAACGTTGACCCATGTGCCTGGGTACCTACTTACTTACTAAGAAGTAGGAATAGCGACAGGCCTTGGCTGGACAAGGAGCCACTGGCGGCGGCGTTACAGCGCGTTACACACGACGGTGGCTTGGCGACAGTGCCTTGTACCCAAGTACTAGGTACTTTCTGCAGCCTTGTAAAAAGCGCTGCGAGTCCTGCATGTCTAGGTTCCTCTGTAGCCGATCAGTGTTCTTGCTCCCGGTGCGTACGACGTGCTTCGCATGTACCAGTACTTCCCTACACCAGATACTAATAACATGCGGAGCGGTATTTACAGGACTGTCCCCAGCCTCATCGGCTATTACTCCTTTTTACCGGCTCTTGACAACTTTTGAACTGCCTTGTGATACTTCGGCCATCCTCAGAAACAAGGGCCGCGTGTGTAGGCCATCGATTCACCCGGCCATCAGGACGAACGAACCAGAGGACGCGGACGCATGACGCCATGAAAGGAATCACAGTGGGCGGCCAACATGCCAAAGTGGAGAGTGTCTGGGCTAAGACGGTGGTTTTTGGACACTATTTTAACGTCGCCAAGGGCCAGTCATGACCTGCGAAGCTTGAGCTGCCAGCTTTTTCTTTTCTTTTCTTTTCTCTTCTAGAAAAAACTCCCGGAGGCCGGTCAACCACCAGCAACCATACAATTAATTGCGTGTGAGAACGAGAAACGAGAACTGGTAACCAAGAACCACGAACCGAGAACCGAGAACCGAGAACCAGGCACCAAACACCGAAGCACCAAGCACCAAGCAGCTCGGAAACCTGGATGCTTGGGTGGATCAAGGCTTCAATCGCGTCTTCCCCCGACTGCTTCGACCACCTCGCCTTACTCAGTGCACGCCGACCCGAGACAAGCTCGAATCCTACATGTAGCGCCCAAGGACATATGTTCTGCTCCTTCTTCTCCTCCCCTCTCGTTCTATCTCGCTGCTGCTGAGCTTCCTTGTTTGTCACACTTTTTGTTTCCTCTGAGTCGCATGGGTCCTTGACTGTAGTTTGACCACCACCTCCACCTCCGCGCCATACGTCACGCTGCCGCCACTCGTCCTCACACAAATCTCACAAATCTTCCATCATGACGGAGACACTCCAGAGCTCGGCGCCGGCCGCAACTCTCCAAGACCAGACCCTGCTAGTGTTTGCTCGTCTGATGGAAGGCGGCCAGGAGGATGAAGCGACCTGCAGAGAGCTGGACCGGCTGACGAAATTATTAAATGACGACGCGGAGTCGCAGGGAAAAGACGATGAGCACAAGACTATATGCAATGTCATCGACGGCGATTGCGTCGACACCGTCTTGTGTTATCTCGATATGCGTCAGCCAGACATTGTGCGAGGTCATGCGACTCTCGCCACCTCGGCCTATCTCAAGGCTGCTGGAGAAGACGGGTCCAAGAAACTGTCTGAATTCTTCTTCGAGCGCGTCAAGAGAGGTACTTATGACGACTACATTGTAGCATTCTGCGTCGCTTCGGCAACGTTCCCCATCGTGCCGGATTTAACCTCGCACCTGTTTCTGAGTGAAGGGTTTTTGAGCAGCCTGGGCCCTCTTATGAGGAGGGAATGGAAGAGTCGCAAGGTTGAGACGGCGTGCTTGGAGATGCTCAATGCGGCATGCATGAACTCAATGTGCCGCGAAGCTGTTCAGAAGTACTGCGTCGAGTGGCTGGAGGAAGTGATTGATCAAGACCCTACAGGTTCGACCCATGGTCCCAACGGCGAGCCCAAGGTGCAGGGTGAAGGTGGTTCTATTTCCATGAGACGACACTCGGAGCAGGTTCAGCATTTGGCCGCGGTTATTTTGGCGAAGCTCAGAGTGAGTTCATCAGCACCGGTCCCCATTTCCTCTCTCGTTTGCTCCCCACGCCAAATCTCTGAGTGTCATGGCCCTTTGTCGTGTGTTTGAATCATGAATGTTGACGCAAGACTGACGTAGACTGAAGGCAGTGCCTTCTAAACCATCATCCATTAATGATCCCAACAGGCCCAAGGTCGAGCCAGCAGTAACCAGTATCGAGGACTTGTCCGGCCTCTTCACCAAAATGATACTACGAGACGGTGACCACGGCAAACATTCCATAGAGGGTCTTGCTTACGCCTCCTTGCAGCCAAATGTCAAGGAGACCATCATTGGCAACGAGGCTCTGCTCAAGAAGCTAGTCAAGACCCTGACCGAAGCGCAACCCAGGTCGCCCACGACCTACGGTGCTCTCAGCATATTTGTCAACTTGACGCGATACAGGCCTGCGATGACAGAAGAACAGAAAAAAATGGGCCAGTTGAAGGCCTATGCAGACGCCGCCGGTAGACTCGCCGGGCCAGATCCCCTGGATGACGACGAACACGTCGCGAAACGTTGCCGGGCGGTTTTCAACGTCGACCTCGTTCCTGTCCTTGTCACTCACAGCAAAAACGGTTCCCCGGCGTCCTTGGGTCTCGTCATTTCCATCATCAACTCCATGGCTGTCACGAAATCTCTGCGAGGACCACTCGCGCAGCAAGGGGCGGTGAAATTGCTTCTTGTCGGATGGGCTACCATTCCTGATACAGACGAAGTGCCCCGGCGGACAGCGGCCCAGGCACTCGCTCGAATTCTCATCAGTACCAATCCCGCTTTAGTATTTGGAGGAAACCGTTCGAATCCAGTCAACGCTGCCATCCGGCCGCTGGTTTCCATCCTGCCTCCCGATCCGGCTGCCGAGACGAGAGATCTGTTGCCTACGTTTGAAGCGCTCATGGCATTGACGAACCTCGCCTCGTTAGATGACGACGATACGCGAAGTACCATTATCCGTATGGCATGGTCCCACGTTGAAGAGCAGCTATTGTCGTCCAACAACCTCGTCACCAAGGCTGCTGTCGAGCTCGTCTGTAATTTAATGCAGGCACCAGAGGGAATAGCCCTGTACGCAGATGGAAGCCCACAGTCCCGGGCCCGTCTACACATCCTGTTGGCGCTGGCCGATGCCGAGGACGGAGGAACCCGAAGCGCTGCAGGCGGAGCCCTGGCGTCTCTCACGGGATTCGAGTCCGTTGTGCGGTACGTGGTGCAGCGGGAGAAAGGGGTCAAGGTCATTCTTGGCATGTGCAACGATGCCGACGAGGGCATAAGACACCGCGGTGTGGTGACGGTGCACAATCTGATCACGGCGGAGGGGGAGGCTGGCCAGCTGGCTCAGACCAAGGTGAATGATGAGAATGGCGTCGGGGTACTGAAGCAGTGTCTAAAGCAAAATAGGCGGCCGGAATTGGTGCAGATCACCGTGGAGGCGCTCAAGGTTCTGCTAGACCAGAAGTGAAAATGACATTCGCCTCAATGACGCAAAAATCGAAGCATGTGGAAGGGTTCAATTGTGCACTTGTCTATCTTTATTGCGTTTTGCATCACTTCCATGGGCTGGTGCACCGGCGCGGAATACTATCCAAATTGGAGGCAATATCTACGTGCACGTCTTACAGGCTCTTGTCTGCGCCGCCAGGTTCCGTAGCCGGCTGGTGACATCTATTCAAAATGGCGACGCCCTCCACATGACCCGTCTGGGGGAAGAAATCAAACCCAACCAGGCTCTCGATGTCGTACTTGGCGCCTTCGCCTTCGGCTCTGACCAAAACACCCACATCTCGTGCCTGCGTATGGACATTGCAGCTGACATAGAGGATTCTCTTTGGCGCGAACCTTCGCAGTTGTGCCAGGAAATCGGCGTCGCAGCCCTTGCGTGGTGGATCCAGCACCACGACCGTCTCGTCAGCGGGATACGTGACGCTCTTGAAAAGCTCACCGGCGTCAGCAGCGATGAACTTGCACCGATCTTCGCCGAGGCCGTTGAGGGAGGCATTCCTGCGGGCCGAGGCAATGGAATCGGCCGCGATGTCGATACCTGTCGAGTGTTGGAACACGGAGGAGAGGGTGATGGTGAAGAGGCCGGAGCCAGAGTAGGCGTCGATGAGGTACCTGATGGGGCTGTCGGATGGCGGAGGGAGGATACGCTCGCGGACATAGGCGGTGAATTTGGGGAGGATGGAGTTGTTGTTCTGAAAGAATGACCCGGCGGGATTTGTGAATATGTGGTTGCCGATGTACTCGGTTGTAGTGGCCTTGGAGTCGGTCTCGCAGGTTTTGATGTCGATGAAGTCGTCGCCCTCGGCGCGGGCGGCATAGGGAGGTAGTGCGTCGTCGTCTGGGGGCTGATCTCCGCCCTGAGAGTGCTTGGGGTATCGACGAGTGTTCTCGCGCAGCAAGATGGTCGCGCCGCGGTGGTAGTTTTGGAACTCGCTCCGCATGCGCTCTCGTTCGCGGGCCATTCCTAGGCGTACTGCGGAGGTGCCTATGGGGCAGTCTTCAACATCCAGGACCTTGCGCTTGCCCTTTTGCATGAAGCCTATGTCGGGACAGGATTCAAAGGACGCCTTGGCAGCCTTCCTCTTGCTTGGTCTGAAACCCGGAGGCCCGTCAAAGTGCGGCGTCAGCTTGGTGCGGTAGCCGTACTGCAAGGGACTCCCAATGGTATCCTGAATGGCGGGGACGAGCTCGGCGGGCAAGTTTGAAAAGTTGCGGTATGCCTTTTCGAGCACCCTCTTCTTCAGCTTGAGCTGCTGGACGTAATCCAGCATCTGGAACTGGCAGCCACCGCAGGACGAGAAGTACTTGCACTGGATGCGGGCGTCGTCACGCAAGGACGAAGGTCTGACGATGGAGATGAAATCTGCGACAGTTTGATGTTCTCGAGGAATGTGGCGGAAGACTTTGACTTTGGCAATGTCCCCTGGTACGGTGAAGGGGACAACGTAGACTTGGGCTGAGTCAGAACGCATGGCGAGACCGTCGCCGGTGGAGGAGAGCTCGAGCACTTCAACCTCGGTCTCGGTGCCTTGGTCAGGCAAAGACTGGTCCTCTTGGGATGTGCCGTCTGTCTCTTCAGAGCCGAGCATGATGCCTCTTGATGCCAACAGGGCTTTAATATCATGTCGAAGAACCTCCTCTGACGAACCCTCTGTGATGTTCTTCTCCCGCTTCGTCTTCTTGCCTTTCCAGGGCCTAGGAGCATTGCCATTGGCGTTGTGGGGACGTTTGAGACGGTCTCGACCATTCTGAGCGTGTATCGGGTGCTGGTTCTCTACCGAGGTGGCTTTTGTAGAAGCTGGAGGAGCAGCATTTATTGTTGATGCCATGCCGAAGGTCGCAAACGGGCGGAAAAGAGCGTGAGCCGGCGGTTTGATGAGACGTCCCCAGGGTCGCATCTGCGTTTCCAAAGCAGAGGTGTCAGAAGATAAGACTTGTTTTACTTCATCTTGCTAGCAGTCTTGCAGTTGCTTGATGTATTCGATGTTGTGATAAAAAAAAAAGAAAAAAAAAAGAAAAAAAAGAATAGAATACTAGAAAAGAAACAGCCGTCAGCCAATGAGCGAATGGGGTTGCTTGCCATGTGCAGGAAATAAAACCACCTACTATTGGTCGATGGCACTTGCCTGCGCTTTGAATTGTACGACGCAGTCTGGCTCGGTCCTTCCGCTGGCTGCACTTCACTTGGGGCGGGGGATCGACTCTGGCCAGGACCCATAAAAAACATGAAACCACCACACCAGTTGAGATCTACAGACACACACACACACACTCTCGTCTACGCTCCCGGACCATGTCCGCGTGATGGCGCAGAAGCTCTTGCCAAGAAACCAACCACCTGGCCGCCGATGCCGCACTACGCACACCCAAGCCATCATGATCCGTCATGGCCCCTGTGAGTGGCCGCCGACGGACTCGACCGAGTCTGATCTAACCCGGGCCACACTATATATGATTTAGCTAGTGTGGAAATGGAGTTCAACGTCGAAATGTCATTGTCGGGTCTGGACGCGGCCAGATTAGGCTCTTTCGTGTCCTTTGACACCTTGGTTACGCATTCTCATCTCGCACCGGCCGCTTATGAGCCGCCCATCGTCGCGGATACCAATCCTTTGACATTTTGCGTTCGCGAGTCGTGACCCAACTTCCCGCCCCCTCCATGTCGTCCCGATGAGTGAGTAGTTTTGCACTGTGATTCTTTTAATAAATGTAGCACACTGACTCGGAGAACCGCGAGTAGAAATTTTCACGCCACACCTTGTCAGCCTGTTGCTGGCTTCTCTCACAAAATATGGCTTCATTCAGGGCAGTGCCCTGCCGGAAATTGTCCTTAGGCCAGCCGCAGAGGGATCAGTCGGTGCCGTCGCCAGCGAGAGCATGGAGTGTAGTGCCATAGGCAGAGACTTGTTGGCTCGAGGAGTCAGTTTCCCCCCAAGATCTCACCGCAAGGACCGTACTGACTTTGGGCCGACAGGGCAATGCCGCAGATGCCTTGGTAGGAACAACATTTTGTGTCGGCGTCGTCGGCATGTACCACTCTGGCATTGGCGGAGGTGGATTTGCAATGATACGCGATCCAGAGGGCAACTATGAGGCAGTCGACTTCAGAGAAGCCGCTCCCGCAGCAGGCCACGAGGACATGTATCAGGGTAATGTCCCTGGAAGCATATACGGAGGCTTGGCTGTGGGAGTACCGAGTGAGGTTCTTGGACTGGAGTACATTCATGGTAAATACGGCGTATGCTCATCCCCAACTTTCGTATGGCTTTGCTGGTGCCAACTCATCGTGCAGTCACTACCATGGAAGACGGTCATGCAAGGCGCCATTCATGTCGCCCGTTACGGCTTCAGGAGTATGTGTTTCCGACATCCCGGTGCTCAGAGTCTATGGAAACCGTCGGCAACTAACAAATAATATCCAAGTTTCAACCGATTTTGTGGGCTATGTCGAACGCACTGTTGAAGGGAAGCCCAACTTTTTGGTGGAGGATCCCAACTGGGCTCAGGATTTTGCTCCAAACGGTCCGTTTACCCAAACGTTCAGCCTTACATTTGCTAACTAATATTACAGGAACTCTTCTCCAAGTCGGCGACATCATGACAAGAAAGCGCTATGCAAAGTATGTCTGTTTCTCTGACGCTCTTCTTCTCGATACTAATCTATTCTCCCCAGTACTCTCGAGAAGATCGCAAACCAAGGAGCCAAGGTCTTTTATACCGGCGAACTCGGTGCGCCCCCCCCTCCCTCCCATTTTTGGTTATGTCGTAACATGCCACCGGGTTAACACATATTCAGCGGAGACGTTGGTCAAGTATATCCAACAAACAAACGGCACCCTGACGCTATCCGATTTCAAGAACTACAAAGTCATAAGTCGACCCGTCAAGAACGTCACATACCGCGGTCTTAACCTGTACACTATCGGCAGCCCCGCCGGCGGCTCAATAACTCTCAATATTCTTAAAATCATGGAGAATTTCGACCTTGCAGATTCGCGAGACGCCAATCTCACATCTCACCGCTTTGTGGAGGCCATGCGCTTTGGGTACGGCGCTCGTGCTGAGCTTGGTGATCCAGCGTTTGTCAAGGGGATGGATGAATACGAAGCACATCTGTTAGACGAGGCTCATGCCAGGCATGTTAGGGAGCGCATTTCAGATGAGCAGACTCTCCCAGTGAAAGAGTACGATCCCAAGGGAGTGGAGCTACCGGAGAGCCATGGGACGTCGCACATTGTCACAGCTGACAAGTCTGGCATGGCAACGTCGCTAACTACGACTGTGAATTTGCTCTTTGGTGCGCAAATCATGGACCCATCATCTGGTATCATTCTGTATGTGCTCACTTCCCGTGGCATGACTCTACATCCCATCCGCATCTAACATTTGATAGCAATAACGAAATGAATGACTTTTCTATTCCCGGCATCCCCAACGAATTCGGCTTCGAGCCCTCCGTCGCCAATTTCATTCGGCCCGGCAAACGGCCACTATCCAGCGTGACTCCCGTCATTGCTGAATTCCCCGATGGCAGATTGTTTGCCACTGTCGGAGCAGCGGGTGGCTCCCGCATCATTTCTTCCACTGCAACTGCTCTATGGCATACGATTGAGCATGACATGTCCATGAGAGAGGCGCTCCGCGAGCCACGTCTTCACGACCAAGTAACGCCGAATACCGTACTTGTCGAATACGGGTTCGACGCTAGAACAGCAGCAGGGCTCATGGAGAAGAAGCACAACATTACATGGGTGAGACCAGGCTTGAGTGCTGTGCAAGGCATCAGGAGGCTGGATGATGGGTTATTTGAGGCGGCGAGCGAACCTAGACAGAAGAACAGTGGGGGATTGGCGATATAGATATGCATGTATGCCTCCTTAGATTAGAACGGTCTGTTTCATCTTGTGCTGTACATGTATTATTCTCGGTGATGGTGTGTCTATGTGGTAGAGATGGCCCTGCAATCTAGCGAGGTCTTCACCGTACCCTGGTTCGTCGGAACCATAAGCATAGAAACAGGCGGACAGACGGACACGAAAGATAGTTAAATAAATAAGATAAAATGAAAGCAAACAGTACCAGGAAAACAAAGAAAGTAAATGCACAGAAAACTCGGGGTATCTCCTGGTCTATATATGATGTTAACCAGACGCTATGAAATCTTGTCCTATGTTGTCATTGCCACCAGGCGGCTCGTTTCATAAACCCATTTCTTGGCAAACTCTTCCTCGGTGAATCTGATAGCCGACTTGCGGGCGCGCCTGCGCATAGCCAGCGGGTCAGACTGAGAAAGAGCCTTTTCGAAACCCCTGGCAAATTCTTCCTCGCTGGTTGCGTGGTAGCCTTTTTAAAGAGAAGGAAAGATTAGCTCGGCCTGTTGCTCGTCAATGTACAGAAGGGGACCAGATCCTGAATCCTTACCAGTTGGTTCTCCATCCACCTCAACGACAATGTCGAGCTTCGGCCCACCACTGTCGTGAACAACTGAAATGAGACCCGCCGCCTGGTACTCGACTACACCTATACCAAAGTGTTCGTTCCACATGCCATTGACGCCAACAGAGGCCTTTCTCAACCAATCGAGAATCTCTGGCCACGAGGCATCGAGATGGAACACCACGTTGGCCTTGATGCCGAGCTCGTTGACAAGCAATCGAAGTTGGTAGACCCTCTTGGAATCTTGATCGTCTCGGACGCTGCCGATGAGGACAAGCCGCGCCTTCTCGGCAGCCTTGCTCTTTGCTTTTAAAAACTTGGCAAAGGATTGCAAAATGAGCTGATGGTTCTTCTCGGGTCGAAATTGGGCAATGTACACGAGAATGTGGTCTCGCTTCTCCTCACTCGCCTCAGATACTTCTACTTCTTGCTCAAGCTCGCGAACAGCCACAGGCGGATATACGACTACAACAGGATGGTTCCTGTCCTTTTGAGCTCTGTACGGTCCCCATAAGCTCTGGACATGGGCCTGTGTCCAGGTAGAATTGGTCATGACGACGTCAACCGAGGAGCCGACCCATGAATAGACCATGGCAAACAAGCGCCAGTACGCCCTCTTGACAAGTCCACGAGTCCCCTTGCCCTGACCAGCATTGACCCCCTGAGACCCCACCGCAGAGGTCGGGTCGAGAGAGTCCAGCATGTCGGTCGAAATGGTAGGGTAGTGGACATAGGCGCCGGTAGGGACGTTTGGAAAGAGGAACTTGCATAGCCCCAGGGCAAAGGCATATCCCATGGTGTCGATGAAGATGTCCGGAACGAGCAGGGAAAAGGCGTCCCAGGCCAAGATCATGGAGCCAAGTGATTGCCCGAGCAAGGTGAAGTGTGGCCAGCTCGAAGCAAGAACCCAGTGGCGTTTGGAAAGATAGAGAAATTGGACAGTTGGCGGGTGAAGACGAATATTAAACCGGCTCTGGAACAAAGTTAGCATGCCGACGACACGACCACGAGTGAGCATGATATAAAAGGGTCAAACAAACAAACCTCCACACGGTGCAGTATGGCGTCCTTGGTCACATTATGATCTCCCGTGTACACGACGCACTTGGCTTTTGGCCAACGATCCTGAGTGGCGCGAATAGCAGCCCACAGCACTCGCTCCCCGCCACCGCCAGCGTTGCTGTTATGTTTATCAGCCTTTGGTCCATTGTTGTCATATGGCGGTTGAGTTGGCGTACCAAAAGGGGTGGAAAAATCCAATAACGCCATCCCAGTTCTTTGATAGCTTGGCGTCTCGGTTCTCTGTCTTCAGACCGGTACTGTCAACAGCCTCAGCTTCAACCGCGTCACTCGAGGTCGTCTGATTTGTTTCAGAGCTGTCTTTGCAGTATTTTTCGTCTTCCTCGTTCATGAAGGAGATGAGATGCGTTCGACGACCGCCAGTTCTCTTGCGCAGTGTGAAACCTAGGAATCGACCAATTCGATTGGCAATGATGGGGACCACGACAACGAGGAGGAATGGCGACGAGGCCAGAAACGTCACGACCAAGGCAAGCATCTTTGGATCCATGCCAAACGAAAAGGACCTTTGAGCCGTCGGGGCTGTGCAGGCATCAGGCATGGCGAGCAGAGGCGAGAATGAAGGGGGCGAGGCGAATCGGACGAAGCTGGATTCAGGGTGTCGGCGGTGGAAAAAAGACAGGGGACAGACGTCGATGGATGTGATCCGCGCTGCGGGGGGTCGGAGGGTTGGAGAGGTCGAGATGTGGCCAGCTTTCAAGATCGTGAGAGGTAGACAAGGAATAAGTTAACAAGTCGACTAACTGGATGGTTCGCGGTGGGGAGGGAGAGGCTCCAGTCTTGGTTGACTGTTGATGCCGGCGTTAACAAGGAGTTGCCAGCGGTGCCATCGGTGCCATGGGCGCCCTTCGATGTTGAGGGCTTGCTCGCTGCTCGGTGATGATGCTCGACAGCGTGCTGTCAAGACAAGGTCGGGTCAGGTCAGGTCGGGTCAGGTCAGGTCAGGTCAAGACATGCATCACGACTCGCGAGTCGCTGGCGCCTGGGAGCACGTCTGGTAGCTTTGACGTGCGGAGAGAGGGTCCCAAAGCCAATGCTTCTAATGCAGGGCAGGTGCAACGTGTTGTGCTGCTGCGTCAGCTGAGCCGTGCCCGCGATCCGTCACGTGCGGCGCCCCAACGACCCCCCAAGGCTCAGCCCCGGCCGCCTGGGAGCCCTGGCCGTCCCCACGTTCGAAACTGGCTTGGAGCTTTTAACGAGCCACCCATCACTGTCGCATCTTTTGATACTCCGTATCCATGTCCCCCTTTCCTTTCCATACCTGCCTATTAATGCCTAGGCATGTGCTAGGCATCTGGGCCTGTTGTGTCTGGTGTGAAGGAGGGGGGAGAGTTGTTGACCCCCGTCGCTTGAACCTCAACTGATGCCTCGATACTCCGGCCTGGACCTCAAGCCTGCGTCTCACGGGATGCATCGCAGCCTCAACCTCAACTCACAGTCACAGCAGCCAGTCAGCGGCTCTCTGCTCTCACCGATACCGCCCTCGACCTCAGCCACGGCCCATCATGAACGCATTTCATAAATCGGCGCCAGGACTCACTCTCGCCCAACTGACGAGAGTCACAGCCGCAAGACTGCCGTCTCATCCTGTCCCGAAACCTCGCCCTAGTCCTCTCTTGCGCCGCCATTCCCACCTCTCGGCCGTAGGAGATGCCGTCATCTTCACCGCAAACAGCATCTCGTCCATCCACAGCGCCGGCGTCCCGTGGTACTTGTCCATCCCGCTCGTCGCTCTCGGAGTAAACTTTTCCCTCCGCCTGCCCATTCAGTACTACACGCGGCGGCTGGTAATCAAAAGAGGCGCACTGAACCCGCTCGTGTCAGCATGGGGCTCACGTCACGCCGCCTCCCTTCCAAGGGGACAGGGTGAGCAGGCAGAGCGTCTGTGGAAACTGCGCGTCGCGGGGCTCACAGAGAAGTCCCGCAAGAGGATATACAAGACGTTCCGGGTGCAGCGGTGGAAGACTCTGGCGCCGTTCCTGAGCATGGTGCCCTTTGTCGTCGTCTCGGAGGCGCTGAGACGCCTTTCCGGCGCCCCCATGGGGTGGATAAGTCATTCGGTTGGATTGGCGAGCACGGACAAGGTGTCTGCCGCCTTGTCGGATGCGAGTGGCTTGTTCAACGAGGAGCTCGCGCGTGGCGGGTGCTTGTGGTTTGTGGATTTGACGGCCATGGACCCTTACTATGCCCTGCCCATGCTGTGTTCGGCCTTGTTGGCGCGAACTTCTTGGGCGAGGTTATCCAAGGATCAGCTGGCCGCCTTGTTGAGCCTTGACGGGTCCCCGGCGCCAAGGACGCCCGTGGCGAGGATTCAGACAGGTGTCGGCCGGGCATTGCTCTTGGTTCCGCTGTTCCCCATGCTGTTTGCCGATCTTCCAAGCGCCATCTTCTTATACTGGGCGACTACGTTTGCGCTCAACGACGTGAACGAGTCCATCTTGGAGAGGGCCATTCCCAGGCAGGCTCCCAGACTCAAAATGGTCCAGAGAATACCCCCTGCACTGCCGTATTTACGGCCAAGTCACGCAGATGAGGGCAAAGGCGCAAGGTCGGTGCACTAGGAATATGCTATTAGGATGGAGCGGGCCTTGGGAGAAGTGCCGGCTCGCGTGTACATTATAGCATCGTCATCAATCAGGCTGTGTACATGTAAAAATGAGAAATAACATCCCGCCCGTAAAACTCCAAACTTTGCGAAATGGAATAAATGGAAACAAGACAGTTCTATCGCGCGGCCCGGCTTTGGTACATCTATCCCAGAACAATCGCCAAGACGACAATGGTCAGAATAACAGCAAGAATGAGAAGCAAGCAGCAGCTCTTGTTCCGAGCAGCCTTTTGATACCTCGCCGCTTGGCGGGTCTCCCTCTCGGCGCCCCTGGTAGCATCGTACGTGTTGTCCACGTTTTCGGCAATGGTACGGATGCTCTCGTCCTGCTCCGAGACCATGTGCGCCACTTGGCGAAACAAGACGTTCAAGTCGCCAACGCCCTGCTCAATGTTGCGGATCTCCTCCTCTCGTTCGATGATGAGGGCTTCCTGAAAGTCGACTTCGTGTTGAGGTGCCATGTGCGATAGTTGTTGCTGCTGCATAAGCTGCTGCTGCCCTTGACTGCCGCCCCCTTCTCCATGCGCGTGGGCTTGTTCGGAGTCGTGAGCCGCTCTTGCGGCGCTGACGGATGCCTTTTCCTTGTCTAGAGCCTTTCTCTGTAGATCCTGAAACTCTTGGAGGGCGGCCTGGAAGTCGCTCGACACCTTGGTCTGCTCGTACTTTTGCTGTTTCTATTCAGTCTTGTTAGCGGACCGAGCTATGCTTATGAGGGGCATTTCGTCCGACTCGACGAACCGTCAGGTCCTCCCAAGTCTGAAGCCGCTTCACGCCCTCGCCAATCTCCCTGCAAAGGTTCCGCGCGTTTTCCATGGTCTTGTGCACGCGCTCGCGCAGGCGAGGCGTATCCTTCTTGGTGCCCAGCACGCCGACATTCCTGGAAAGATCGCGGTTACTTGTCAACAGCGTCTGCAGCTTGGCCTTGAGTTCACGCTGGAGGTGCTGGAAGTCCGGGTCGTCACTGTACCCGCCAGGCCGGCCGGACTCGAGGTTGGAGAGTTGATCGAACGACATGCCGGCGCTCGCTATACCGGGCGAGGGTGGAGTCGAAAGGGAAATGATGGACGCTCACAGTGAGAGAAATAAAATGCCGGCGCGGGCGTAGACGATGCGAGTGTATGCGAATGCGGTGTGATGTGTTTGAAGTGAGTGTTGCCTTGAAGAACCTACTCCGTACAATGACCTCCACAACAGACCACGGGAGTCGGGGCGCCGAAGCATGCGTCAAGTCGACAAAAAGGTGGGGCGTCGCCATGCACCAAGCCGGAGCAGGTGCCCATCCGCGCCTGCCTGGCAGCCAGCAAAAGGCCATTATCACCACGTGATCGCTACGGCGCATTCCGTAATCGGTAGTACCTTCGTATTGTAGCTCCACAGGTCCACAGCTGCGCGTTGCACGCTCATCAGCATTGAACTCCAGGCTCGTGCATGCGGTGATTGATTTTTATTATTTACCCGTTGCTCACCTCAGCCCCCGTCACCTCGAACCTCCTCCCGTCAGGCAATGCGAATGCGCCGTCATCATGGCGGGCGCCCCAGTGCGAAGAGCTTCTTACAAGGACACTTTGCAGCCTGCTCTTCATAGGCGCTTTTCCTCAACCGCCATTCTTTTGCTGGCCGTGTCGTATTTGGAAGCCTTGCTCCTTGCCAATTGGAGCTCATGTTTGTTCCGCCTCGTCCATGCATCCACGTTCTAAGCCGTTTTGCTGACACGTCCTTCATCTCTGCAGATTTCTGGTCATGGTTCCCATTTGGGCCCGTCGGCTTCCGAACCCTGCTCATCTTCTCTTGCGGACTGTCGATTCTCATCCTCCGGATCGCACATTACCATGTCGGGCTGAAGACGACCGAATCCGGGTTGCAGGGCCTCATATCTTCCCTGCTTAGCCTTTCAACCTACGAGACTGCTTTTTGGTACTGCACGTCGAGCTTTCTCTTCTGCGCCATCTTCCTTTTCTCCATGTCGGAATCTTCGAACCTGCGCTGGATCACCTACCTGAGTGGCAGTCGAGCACGGGTGAACGAGAGACCCTTGTTTCTTGCTTGTTATCTGGGCGTCTGTGCTCTTTTTCAGACCATTACGCACTACAGATTCGATATCGACCGCCTGGATTTCAACGTCTCCAAACGCCAGGCTAAAGTCCAGCAAGCCGCCCTGGGCGTCTTGCCCCAGTCTTTCCAGATCGTGCTCTTCCAGCTTCCTGGCACTCTTGCACGATGCACACAGCAAGCTGTCTCGGCTCTGTTGATGTGTCTTTTTGTATACTACTTCGTCCTGCGATCCTTTGCCTGGGGCTGGGCTTTGGCCTTGCTCCGCCCGTTCTACAGTTTACCCAAGACCAACATTGTCCCAGCTACCTGGCCGACCGACATATACTTGTTGGTGCGCTGCATATATGCAGGGACACTGATGCAGTTTGTGTGGGCGGCGGGAAACACAGCCTTCTCTGTGTTCATGGTCAGAGAGCCGCTCAAAAACGGCAACCCTTTGACATCAGAGTCCAAGGACCCAAACGGCAGTCTCCTGAATGGGCTCAAGAGCAAGAAACTCTCCATCAAGGTGAGGCGCCACTTCACCCCTCGTCAATTTTTTTGTATAGTGCACGACTGACAGAGCGCTAGTCTTTTGCCATGTGGGAGCTTGCTCTCATTGCTCAAAATTTTGAGGTGAGGCGACAGGCCATCTTCTGTGACATTGACCGCAAAGATGGCCCGATGTGGTCACAAGTCTATGCCATCTGCATGGGGCTTTTGAAGCAAATTGAAACTCGTGTTGATGAATATGGAAAACCGCCACCGTCGGCTTTTGCACAATCCAATCCCATTGTCGAGGCGAGACAACGTACGGCAGCTCCACTTCGACAGGAGCCCATCTTCACTAGTAAAGGCGAGACGCCTGGGCTTCTCAGCGGAGTGGAGAAGGCCTTGGACCAACTTGTCAGAAGTCCAGGTTCATCTCCAGTGTCCGAGCTCAGTCCCTTGGCGAAGAAGACGTGGAGGGATGCCAAGGACAGGGTGCTAACGAAGGAGCAGCAGGAAGCGCTGTCTCCTGAGCATCTGCGAAGCGAGTTGGGCAACTGGATGGCAGGTCTCGTGAGAATTGACTACATTGGCCGTCTGTTCCGCCACGATTTCCGCACTCGAGTTTCCGGGGTCATGCTGGGCACGCCATACGCCGAACCAACCTTGTACGCCAACGCTGCCCAAGCTCTTTGTCTGTTGGCAGTTCACAGTCTCGCTGAAGACGTATTCGGAAACGTCCACAGGGATGTTCCCAGCATCATCCGCACCCTGACCGCCGTCATACGGAAGGTTGAAGGCCTGGTTCAACGCATTCCTTTGCACTGGACTGACGCGAGTGGTACCAATGAGTCACCAGAGGTGGACCAAATTCTAGATGCCTTGAGGGGCGGTTTGGAACAGGTCGTCACCAAATTTGAGCCATACAGCAACGATCTTAGGCTATCGCTTGGAGACGTTCGCTTGGCCAAGGAGGCCATTCTGATGCCCGAGAGGCAGGCTCCCGAAAGAAAGGAAAAGGAAGCAGTGGTGAAGCCCAAGACGATTGATGAGAAGAAGATGGAGCCGGCAAAGCAACGGCGGGAGTTTAAGCGCGCGGAAATGGAACAAACAAGATAAAACTGGGCTCGGGGCCGGATAGGCGCAAGGGATATGCCTCCGTTACGATACCCAAGTGGTAAAGAAAACGCATTTTGACACATGGAATAGATGGAAGTACGTGCCTGGAACAAGCACATTGTCGCACAGCAGCCATTAACTATTTCCGGCTTGTCAGTACGTAACTGAATAAGATGGTTGTTCTGCCAAGGCGGTATGGCATTGGAACTGGCTCTGGTTGGCTGGCGCGGACCCCAGCCGAGGCCCACTTCCCCAAAGCAGCGACGCCATAAGTTACCGTACTCCGTACTCCAGCTCACGACTCTTTCGCCATTGCTTCTTGCTCCTACTCCATAACGCAAAAACGCCAGTTCAGCAACCGACGCAACGTTGCTTCGCAAGGACGAGCACGCTTCCCCTGCAGCCATGCATCCTTGGCTTACCGACATACCCAAGGCGAGATGCTAGATGCCATGGCCAGTACTCGGACTCGGACGAGACAGCCATGCAATTTGGACGCTTCTTCTTCCGCTTCCTCTTTGGATCGGCGTACATACTCTTGTTCCTCGGACTCTTCGGGCTGCTTCTCATTACTCCCGGCGATGCCATCCAACGATCGCTCGGCAACGGCCAAAACTACAATGTTCTCATTGTGACGATCTCATACGTGGTGACCGTCATTATCGTGGTGTTTGTCTACGTCTTGCGACTGTATATTACAAAAACGGCGATTGCTGCGATTCCCAAAACGTGGGTTCCCATTGAAAAGGGGGATGTGAAGGATATTGTGTACAAGATGATCCACGGGGGGTTGAGTCGAAGCGCGGCGATTGCATTTGCGGCTCGACCCAGGGAGCAGACCAACTCGGATGACGAGCCAGGCGGAGCTGAAAATGCCGAAGCGAGAGCTCGAGCCAGTGTTGGTCTGAAGAAGACCAAGATGGCAGCAGCGGACTTGGACTTACCACCTCTCCCCAAGCGGCCTGTGTGGGGAGAGATTGAGCACCATGGCTGGGCGTCGCCGAACTCGCCTGATCTGCGGAATCTGCAGTACAGCAGTGTCATTTCGGAGTTGGCGAATCTCGTTGAAGCCAAGGCAATGGCAATGGCCCCTACTGAGGAGCAGGGCTTGGGAACAGACGCGCCTGTGGTTGACCCCGAGGCTGTCGGGCTGCTGCAGCGCACGGCGAACATGACGATGCGGGAATACATACACCATCTTGGGAACGCCGGCGTGATTATCATGAACGACACGACTTCTCAGTTTCTCGCACAGTACGAATGCGCGCGCTTCTCCAACCGGCCCACATCCAACCAAGAGTTCCGTTCCTTGATGCACCTGTTTGCCGAGATGCTACGGGGCATGCAGCCGTTGGATGTGGACTTTGTCAACACGTCGGAAGAGACGAGCCACGGATGGGGCCCGTCGGAAAGTGACATTGATAACGACGCGCCACTGGATACGACGGATCCGCCGTCCCCGCGAAGCAGTATATCGCGAGCTGGGACAAGGAGCACGCACAACTCTGTGCGGCGGCCACCGTTGCGCACCCCCTCTGCACAGGGACGGAGCTTCCGAACCGCCCCCAACACGCCGGGTAGTGGGAGGATTGCCGGGTCATCTGAGAAATCGAGCGAGAATAGCTTTGCCCAGACAAGACGACAGTACCCGGCCAGTAAAGCGTCGAGCTCGAGTCTGAGTTCCAAGGCTGCGAGCGCGGCGAGTAGCAGCGACGCGGGGTCCGTAATCCGTCTCGCTACAAGGGAAGACGATGATGGGCTTCCGTACGTGCTGAACCTGAGGCCGACGACGGCTGGCAGTTGACGATGGGGTGGCCGCGGGATCCCCTGTACATGTTGCTACGCACCCTTTTTGGACAAAGGACGGAATCATGGTTATCTGAAGGGCCCCTGGATATATATGGGCGGCGGATGCATGAGTGCATTCTCCACGACGGTGGATGACAAGAGAAAGTTGCGCAGCATGTCTTGCAGGACTGTAGGGATGCAACTCTTGGGTTTGAGATGGGAACAACATGATACAGTAGTGAAGAGATGAAATCAAGAAATCAAAAAATCGAGCATCCATGACGGTACGCCGACGAGCTACGGAGGAGTTGGCTCCAAATTCACCAAAAGACAAAAAAGTACGGGCTCCCAAAGCGAAGCCCCACCACCCAACAACAAGCCTAACCGACAACTTGGACCGCTTCGTTATCTGGCGTCGCTCCCCACCTTTGGCAAACTCTTTTTTTCCAACCTCCAACCTCCGTCCGACATCCAACCTCGGACCGGGAGCGAGCCTCGCCTCCTCGCACGGCCATCAGTGATCACCATGTCATGCCCGCCAAGCCTGCGTCGCCACAACCCCACCGCAGATTGAGAAGCGACGCAAATCCCCTCCGCAAAGGACAGAAGAAGAAACATCCCTCGCCGCCTCGCCGGACCAGGAACCAGGAACCAGGAACCAGCGACGCGCGCACATCCTCGCCGCCCACGTGCGTCCCCGCCATGCCGGACAAGCCGCCACCGCTGCCCGTGGCCGTGGACCGCCTCGCCATATCCAACCGCCTGTCGATGCTGCTCGCCGACCGCTCCGCCCTCGCCAGGAAGCTGCTGGTCCCGCGGTCCTCGGGGGCGCCCCGGCAGCCCCCTGGCCGCGGGGGGACTCGTCTCGCCGCCGCCGCCGCCGCCGACGACGACGACGGCACGTCGCCCGGGGCCCCTGCGAACCAGGGCGTGGGCTACGTCCCGGAACGGGCGGGGCGGGACGCGAAGCACGAGGACAACAAGGCGCTGCGGGCCAGGATGCTGGGCAAGCGGCGCGGGCGCGAGCGCGGGCGCGGGCGCGAGAGCAAGGGCGACGGCGACAGCGAGAGCGACGACGTCGAGGGCAGGGGCTCGCTGGGGAGGAGGAAGCGCCCGCGGAGGGGCGAGGCGGGCGACGGCGACGGCGACGGCGACGGCACGCAGGACCGCGCGCCCCGACGAGAGGACGCTTGTGGCGACGGGCCGCCGGAGACGGCGGGCAGCAGGAGCAAGAGGGAGCGGAGGCGGAGGCGGAAGCAAAAGACGGCGGACGACAAGAACGACGGCTGACGGACCCGAGTGCCCGCCCTCCCGCAGGGCAGGCACTCTAGACGCCAGACGCCAGACGCAAGACGCAAGACGCAAGACGCAAGACGCAAGACGCAAGATGCCGGCGACGCGGGACGCGCGAGCACACCGTGGGGAGCAGAGCCAGCGGCGGCGTTGTCGTCCCCCCCAACGGATCGGTCCTACGTCCTCCTGAGTCCTGGCAATGTAGGAACTTGTCAGGGAAAAGGAGAGAAAACCGGCAATCTCACGACCCAACTGCGCACATGCAAACAAACGACAAGGGCCCCGCGGAACAGACACACACGCACGTCCTTGCCAAAGCCGCCGTTCGATGAAGATTTTTTTTATATAAAGGCAAAGAGTCTGGTGGTATCTGTCACACACAAGCTTGATTCCCCATCACAAGTACGCCAGGTCCCTATGCACGGTATTCCCCTCGCTTCGTTTTCTCAGTATCCAACAAGTCCCCGCGCACATTATTCCCCCCCCCCGTGACGAGCGAATTATTCCTTGGCCCTCCCGCCCCGTGAAATATTGTTCCATAACGCGCCGCACAAAAATACACGGGCAGTTTTGCACCAGACGCAAAAAGAGAAGAAAAACACGCACACCACGTGCGTGCCCCGTTCCTGCAAGGCGTGGTCGAGGTTGAGGTTGACGGACCATTTCGGACCGACAACACTTTTTGCTTTTTGGCATCGCGTTCAATACCTAGGTAACTGTGAGGTGGGACGAGCCCGTCATGCCTTTGGTCGTTCCCTCAGATCCTGGCATCAACGGAATTCACGCATGTGTATATATATATGACGTTTCATTCGGCCCCAGGGCCCGAAAAGGACCGCAACGGCGGCAAGCTTGTAAATTCACGCCATTGACGTGGCGGACTGACAAAAATACCCCTCCTATGCTTCGATTACCTGCATTTTGGTGACATCATTGCATTCGTTTTCGTTTTCTGTCGTCGTCGCCGCGCGGATCTTCGTCCTCGTCTGACCTCTCGGCCGTGTCACTTGGGTTCAGGATGTGCGCCATGCTGCCTCTCCTAGTTTGGGGTGCCGACGAATCCTTGAATAGGGATCCTTTGGTGTCCCTGTTGCCTCCTGAGTTCCAGGACCACCCGCCAAATGCATCTGTATTCGCCCCATTGCTGCCGCCGTTTGCAGGTGCGTGCGGGGGTGGAGGGGTCGTGGGACGAGAATGCGGGTGAGAATGTGAAGCCGTCTGCAGCGAGTATGTCGACAGCGAATCTCTTATACGCTGGTCTTCCGAGGCCACTCTTCCAGGCGACGAGGGCCACGGGCCGGGAGGCGCGTTGGATGCTGAGAAGGACGAGGGCGTAGGCTGCCATCCATGGGCACGGATGTCGGCAGTAGTGTGTCTTCGAGCCAGGTTGCCGGGAGGTGTCTCCATGTTTGAGAGGGGATGCGGACCCGGGGGTGGCGGAGCCGCGGCGTTGCGGAGAGGTGAGGATTGTGTGTTGCTGCCACCGCCAATCGAGCCGTATGGACGACGCGCCCCGAGCGCGAGACCTGACGGTACACCGGGTCGGTACAAGGGCTGCCCTCGGGCCTGGGACTGCGGTACTGCCAGGCCACCAACTGGTCGTCTGGTGTCGTCTTGTGGCAGCTGCCCGGGTGACACGGGGGCGTTGTCGACGTTGCCAAAGTATTGCTGGCGACTTGCGAACGGCACGTCTAGAGGCTCGTCAACCGTCCGAATCATTTCGGCCTGTCGTTGTATCTCTGCTTGCAGACTCATGACTAAAGAAAAAAAAATTGCGTCAGCGTCGGCATCGACATCGGTGATATAATGTGCATGGCATCCGCAGCAAGCAGACGACGGAGCCGGTGCCATCGTGATCCAGGGCTGCGTTACGAGACTGTGGAGGCAACTCACCATCACGTTGAACTGCACTGTCCAGCGGCACCAGGGAAATTATGGCCCGAGCCAGTTCCTGGTTGAAATGGAGCAACCGACCCGTCATTTCCATTGCAGTCTGGTTTTTCAGGTGCATGTAGTGGGCGTTTTCTTCGCTTCGTTGCAATCGTGCGCTGACGTCGTAGAGAGTGTTCTCCAGATTGGAGAGCCTCGCGTCGATGCTCTCGGGGGGGATTTGGAGAGGCTCGGCAGGTGTACCGGGTTGCGAAGAGCTGGGCTTTGTGAAGTTGGTCTCGCGATGGACTAGAGCATGGCGACTGGCTCGTCGCTTGATGTCACGCAGTCCGGCGATGTCTCCCCGCTTAAAACTGCCATTGCCGTGCTTAAACTCCCACAGTGTCGTGTCGGGATTGCCAGTGTGGAAAACATCTCGTTCTTCAAGCCATTGTTAGCTGGTGTTTCAAGCCCGCGGCTGTGTAGGTTGGGGATGAGCTCTCCAGTACTCCGTACCCTTATGGAACCCGTACATGTTCAGCTGACGCACAAATGAGGAGATGTTGGTATGTTTGAAATATTGTCTATTTCGCCGTCAGCGACGGTGCAACAGCCCATCTCGGGAACAGCCAAGACGTACGACAAGACTTTGGAGAAATCGGCAGTGGGGGACATGACGAAGCTCTCCGCATTGGACGACCATGATATCAAGTGCTGAATGCTGGAGTCTTCCAGCATGCTGCGAATGCTGTCAGTGACACGTGCCCTTTCAACGGACAAGCAAAGGCTCTGGGTGGCAATGAAGGGTTCCTCAGTCTCACTTGTATAGCTTGTGGATGAAGGCAGTTTGTACAATCTTGGGCTGGTGAACAGTGGACGAGGCGGCGGTCGGCGGCGCGGGCATGTTGGATGACGAGTCGGCGGCGTTCCGGTCATTGTTGGACAGTTGGCTCGGGCGGTTGGCCGGCTTGCCATTGGTCTCACGGTCGGCCACATGGCTCGGAACAGAAGCGCCGGGAGAAGAGGCGACGTCCATGGCATCGGGGGCAGAGGTGGAGGTGGAGGTGGACATGGTGACGGCGAGCGCGGGGACGGGAACGACGCGAGTACCCATTGACCCCTCTGGTTCGTCTGTCGGCGGCTGCTTTTGCTTGTGTCGGTCGGGGGACGCCAAGTGGTAGCTATTGCCTTGGGCTGCGGCTGCTGAGGCGTCAGCATGCCATGCGGTCGGGTGAAGCAAAAATCTCGCAGCTGCGGGCTTGCGCTTGCGAAACCCGACGGGAGGCACGGCTCATCTGGCGGGGGGGGGAGGCGGGCCAGCTCACCTCATCTCCACAGAGAACGGCAGCCGGGCCAATGTAGCGTAGCGATATCAAGAAGACGCAGGCAGAAATGCGTGTCGAGGAACAGCGGCGTAGGCTCGGAATGGGAATGGGAATGGGAACGGGCGGCGTCTGCGGCGGCGGCGGCGGCGGCGGCGGTGGTGTTGGTGGTGACAGCGTCGCGGGCGGACTCGACGGGAGAAAGGGGAGTGAGTGCGCGGCGCGGCGCGGCGAAACGAGGCCGTCGAGGGACTCGTGGATCCCGGGATCCGTGGGAGCCGCCGACCTGGGGTGTCGCGCAACGTCGCAAAGCGATTCGATCAAGGCTGGATGTGCCGGGTGCCGGTGCCGTGGACGACGGTGCGGTCGACGCAGTGGGCGCGCCAAGCGGTCGACGAGCGTGCAAGGGTTCGGGGCTTTTGGAGGATGCCGCGAGAGTTGGTTGTCGAGGCGAGTTGCGAGGAGATCAATTCTGGAGACGGGAGTTGATGGGAGGCTGTTGGTTGGTTGGTTGGTTGGTTGGCGGGTTGTTTGGTTGGTTGGTCGGTTGGTCGGTCGGTTGGTTGGTGGATGGTCGGTTGGTTGGTTGGTCGGGAGAAGACCAGACTCAGGCAGGTGCACAGAAGAGAAGGAGGAAGGGTCGAGTTACGGAGTACTAGATCAGCGTTGGTCTGCCGGTCAAAGTCCGATACATGTCTGGCGCAGTCCGGGCGGCGCTGCGTTGGTGCTGCGTGCGTCCCTCGAGGCGTGCCTGACAACAGCGACGAGGCTTCCAGCGAGGCAAGGTGCAGATTGAGCCGGAGACTGATTGACGGCGCCGGGGTGCTCCATAGGGCCCCATCAGGCCTACCCAGGTGCTTGGTCAACGAATGAGTTGGCAGTTGGCTGCAAAAGGCACGAGGGCACGAAGCACCGCGCTCGGTCGTGAGGGCAAAAAGTACTTATACCCCAAGGTCCGAGGCATCGGTGCAAGGAGCCACAACTGGATGCTCAAGCGCTCCACGGAAAGAACGATGGACTGTTAGCACTCCGTTCCCAGGAAGTACGTACGGAGCACTCTTGCCTTGGCCAACAGGGAATCTGAACATTTGAGCAGCCCCAGCCAGCAGCGGCGCCGGGACATGGCATGGGACCCCCCGTTGAAGGTTGAAGCGTCTGCAGCTTGGGGCTGCTGAGCAACGTGGAACCCAATCTAGATGTGGAGCGTCTGGAGGCTCCGACGGCCAGCAGCAACGCGCACATGTCGGGTCAACAGGCACCAGGCACCAGGTAACTGCGTACCAGACAGCGGGCAGTTGAAAGAGTCTACTTTAGACGGCCGCTGTGTTTCCAGTTGCCTTTGCATTTCGATACCTCCCGCCTGCCGCCGACAACACGAGTCAAAGTCGAAACAGCCACTCGGCCGTGCAGCACGCAATGGGTAAGTTAAGTAGATAGAGCAAGACCTGAAGCAGGCCACGGCCCGGGTCCCAGGCAGCCGCAGTCTCAAAACAAAATAAAATAAAATAAAATAACAAATCCCTTGATAATTTCCCTCCTTCTGTTCGACGTCCTCTTTGTCACTTGGACCTTCCTTTCCTCCCTTCGCTCCATACCCGAGCCCATCTGTTTGCCGGCGACGCCGGTCCTCACTTCATCCAAGCTCCAGAAGTACGACACCTACTCGAGTACGTGGGCAGGTACCTGCATGTGAAGCTTTGGCCCACTCTGTCAGCGGCCTTGGCAGCCCCACGACCTCACGATACCTACCGAGGTCCAAGTACGTACCTTGGAAGTCTGTGGCAGAAGGGCACATCGAGTCTGCTCAAGTACTTACACAGTTACGTGACCTGGCAACTTTGTTGACTTTGTTGGAGGCTGACATGCGTGCTACGTATGTGGTATGTGCATGCATGCACGCACAACTCCCGTCCGTCTCCATGTGTCTCCATGTCGGTTGATCAGCCGCCGCTCTCCATGTCGATCCGGGACCGTCACGGTCAAAGGCCCAGAGGGCAAACCCATGTTTTACGCCAGTCCAGAACCTCTGTCAGCCATCATCGGCCCGAGCGAAGGAGCAGTGGTCCGCCAAGCTCGAGGCGTCGCGAGATGCGATTCATATAATGGTGCATATATTGCCCGGACGTCATCTATTCCCTGGCCGTGGCGATTCGTGCCCTCCGAGCCTTGCCAGCTCCCGCCCCATTCAGCGGCTTCCACAAACTTCGCCGGGTGACGGGACAAAACCCAGTACCTATAATTATCGTGGAAACACTCGCGTGGTATTCCGTAGCCGCACGCACGTATGCAGGTCCTGCTACCGGTTCCTTGGCTCCGAGAGTGTCCAAGGCATCGACCACGTCACCCCTGCGCCCCCCTGCCTGCCCGGGCCCCTGTCCATGCAGCCTCAGGCAGCTTGCGGAGAGCTCTTCGCCGCCGTGGGCATCATGATCAACAACCGTTTCGCCAACCGCCAACCGCGTCAGAGGCCTTGGTCGACTCCGACGCGCATTGGCCGGCACGAGGGGAGACTCGCCAGGGACAACCACCCAGCCGGAACCGGTCGCCTGGGACGCCTTCTCCGAGGCGCGGCACTGGAAAACCGGTATCGGCAGTTTCTGTGGATTTCGGCGCCTCGAAGGAATGAATAGTTGGTCATCCGGTGACTGGAGAAATATTCTGGACCCCCGCGACCTTTGCAAAAGTGCATGGACGGGAATCCTGTCCGTCCGGACCCGCCGCCGTCGGCTGGCAGTGTCGACAAGAGCCTTGAACATGACCTGAGAGAGGTAAAGACCTCTTGGTCATGAGCCTCTCTCTCCTCGAACGACAATAGGCTGACCTCTGGGTTCAAATCCGCTTGCCTTTTGCGCCTTAGCCAACGGCCCCTCGGGTCCAGGTAACTAACTACCTAACGTACTACTACGTACGCTCCGGAGCGGTCCCACGGGATGCCACGTAGTGTAACGACTAGGCGGTAATAGTCACAGGGTTGGATTGGGACTCGGAAGGCATGGAGACGAAGGAAGAAGGCGCCTCGCCCGGTCAGAACTCTCATCCGCTGTTGTTCTTCTGTTCGTCCTTGTCCCTCTCCCATGTCTCGACAATCCACGACTTCGGCTTGCCGCGCCTCCATTGCCAATGTACCGTAGAGGGGAAACGGTGTTCTGCCTGCTTGCCACGCCCTATAGTATATCGTGCTGTGGTGTGCCGTCGCGTATGAGTGTGTACCGTTACCGCACGGGCTCACTCCGCCACAAGTATTGGAGTTTATATCTAGATGATTCGCACGTCTTCCCAGAGAGGCTAGACCTCTCTCGCGCCTCTCGCGGCACGACTCAGTCGGGTCAAGGTCGTCGTCAAGCGCTCTCCACCAGGACGCCCGTCCATCCTTTGCAGTCGTTCCACGCACGTCTCC